TCCATAATTCCCTTCGCTGTCTTCTCCTTCAGAATGTTGAACGCAACATTCTTGGTCAACGAGAGACGGATCACGGACATAGCTTTCCGATCCAAACCTGCCCAATCTGCATCCGACATCTTTTCTGGCTTGTCACCCAAAACCACGTCCAAATCTTTCTGAACCAGCAAATCTTCAATTTGCATCTTCCACCAACTGAAATCTGTACCATCGAACTTCTCAATTCGGAACTTCCCGTCTTCTGCCATCTCAAACGACTGGACGAGATACCCGGTACAAAAATTTCAGATCTTGGTAATTTCGTCAGAAAATCAGGCCCACCACACCAACCAAAACAAAACAGCCCAAAATCCAAAATGAACCCACTGTTTTTCTTTTTTTCTTCGCATCCTTCTTTTTTTTGTTCTGGCGGCTGTGCAATCTCAAAACGGGAATGGCTTCAGCGGTGGTGCTTCAAGGAGACGACGGCGCGACTGGGAGACGGCGACAGCGGCTGGACGGCTGAGCTTTCTACCTGCGGCAGCTCCTGTGTCCTCCGACAACAATAACGCTCTGCGCGGGGTCAGACGGCTATGGCGGCAGCTCCTCAACTTAGCGGCGGCGGCGGCTCCCCAACGCGGCTTGACTGCACGCGGACGGTGGTAATTCTCCTCGAACTAGCGGCGTAGATCCAAGGACAGCAGCGGCTCCTCAACCCGGCGGCAGTCTTGCTCGACAGAGTCACCTCTCCTTCAGCGACGGCGACGACCGGTTGTGTGACGACTCCTCTGCGGGGGGCGCCTGGACGGATCAGCGACTGCTCCTGCGCGGCTGACGGCGGCAACGGCTCCTTCTCAGATCTGTCGCACACCCAGATCCGAAAAACCCTAGGTGACAAATTTTCTCGCAATTTGTGCTCGTGTTGAACGCACCAGGCTCCGATACCACTTGTAGGGAATTAAACACACAACACACACAAATAATCTGTGAGAAACGAGAGAAACAGAATACAAACGACACACAAGAATTTAACGTGGTTCGGTTTCCCTAATCCACGGCTGCAACAGGAGGATTTTCTTATTTCACTTGTGGTACAGATTACAAGTACAAACCCTCTATATATAGGGGAAAAAAAACTAGGGCTACGCACAACTGGGCCGGGCCGACAAACAAACCTCCACAAAGCCCAACAAAACCTCGTACTGTGTCGTTGCAACCTGCCTCACCAAGCCGACGCCTCTCACCAATGTTGTCGGCCACCCCCATCCCACGACGTCCACGCGCCACTGCCAGCTATTTATTGTTTCCATTAAGTGTCTCCAATCACATATTTTCATTTGTTTAGAAATAGCTAATTATTTTTGTAATGATACATTGATTTATTTATTCTTTTTAATTTGAGTGACTATTACTTAGAAGAAAGAGCAGTGCTATGTTCACAAACAAAATACTCACAAACTTACTATTTATGATTTATAATTTTATTTTAAAATCATTTTAGACAATTTAATTTTATGCATGAAAGTTCATAAATAATAAGTTTGTGATCATTATGTTTGTGAACCAAGCATTTCCCTAGAAGAAATATAGTTAGGCTTTACGAGAAGCTTTAGTTAAAAATAGGTTGGTGTGTTAAATGAAAATAAAGATTTTGATCAAATTATGATGAAACTAGGAATTTCGATAAACAAAATTAGGGTTTGTATTTTTTATGTAATAATGAGGTATTGTTACAATATACTGTAATTTTTAAAAAAAGGTACATTAGGAATTATAGCCAATGGCAGAGCCAGGACCTAGCCGTAGGGAGGGCACAAAAATAAGGGGGTTCAAGGGCAGCACCGCCCCGATTTTTTCGTAAGCACTATCAAATGACAAAAGTAATAATTTAACGAAAACTCTCATTTTAATTCAATGCCTAAATATGCTATTTTAAATAATAGTCACTCAAATAAGGTAAAAAAATTAGATTAATAATTTAATGGCAAAAAATGGCAACATCTTAAGGAAAATAAACATTTTTTTACTACTTAGAAAAACATTTATTTTTTTTAAATAAAAAAAGTTTTTTTATGTAAGAAGATCCACAACAATGATATGCACCCAAGGTACACTATAGAAGCACTATGTACAGAAGATCCACAACACAATTTTAAATTTGAACAAAACCTAATAATCATCACTTAAAATATGTACAGAAGAATGAATAATCCATTAAAACAATACGATTATCACAATTCATCACTTATAAACAAGAAAATAAACTATCAAAGAATTAAAAATAAAGTATTAACATTTACTAGTAAATTTTAGTTATAGCAAACCTGAAGAATGAACTTGGACTATTTTCAAAGCAAACCTGAGGACAAGGTGACGGCAAGCACTGAAGACTATAAAACTTACTCCTTAAAAGCCTTTTTAAAGCCGTAAAACTCGAGCGATGTCGCTTAGAGCAATATTCTTTTAAAATCAAAACGCCGTCGTTAGGTTGAGTAAAAAAAAACCTATCCCTACACGCTAGTAACAAATTTCCGAAAGAGAGGTGCTAGAGTCACAAACACCTTGATCACAAAATACACAACCTTGCCATTTGTGTATTTAAATGCTTACTTTTTAATTATTTAACATTATTTAATTCACTTAGTGAAGTACACAAATAGCAAGGTTGTGTATTTTGTGATAAAAAAATTTGTGACTTTAGCATTTCTCTTTCCGAAATCAGAAAAGATTTGGTACACGGAATCTAAACTATGAGATTGAAATTGACAATAATTTCAATTCTGCTATTTGGTAGCACAAAAATATGTAGATTTGGAATTGATAGTGCTAAAAATGAATTGAAATGGGAAAACACAGTTCCATCCAAATCAATTCCATAGAATTTCAATTTTCAATTCTGTCAATTCCGTGTACCAAACAGACCCCGAGTAAATTCTATGATGAATCCTTTATAATAGGGTTTTTTTTTACATATTTAGTCCTCTATCATCAAATATTACATCCATGATCTTTTTACGAGTACTTTTCCACGGATAGCACTTGTTTACCTTCTGTCATTGTGTTAAATTGATGGCTAAAAGTGTTATTTCACAATGATTGTATATCCTTCTTGTCATAACTAGAGTTGCAGTTCTAGAAAAACAACTGAGAGCATGTCCTTGAAGAAAGTTTAACAAGCCAAAAAGAAAGACTCCGAATAAGTTTAACGTCAGAAATCCTTCGTAAGTAGGTTGATGACCATTAATAGACATTCTATTGTGATTGAATGGTGTAACCTTTTACGATGATATAGTGAATGGTTCTTCCACAGACGCGGGTCCCGCAGACGCAGGAAGATTTGCTCTAAACTATGTAAACAATTTTCTGCGTTGTTTGCTGCTTTATATTTTTGCATTCATAACTATAACATAGAAAATGTCATAGCACCTCATATATTATTCACCCAAGTAATCTATGTTGTAGCATCTTTGTGGTGTGTTTGCTTGTCCAATTTGCTTGTCAGCACAGATAAGTTCTATTTGGGTAATCTTTATGCCCGTACGAGATTTCAAATGCTTCGGGCAATCATTGGATATCGTTGGAGCATCTGATTCTCCCAAAAAGTTAATTGCTTGGGTTTTAAGTAGATTCACAACTTCAATATTGCGTTGCTGGGAAAGAACATGAGGCCCTTGTCTCTTGGGTGTTTTAAGCAAGGTACTTCCCCACTTCTTTCCTTAAACCGACATTGGGGAATAATACTTCAAACTTTAATTGGCAGAGCGTTTTGGCAGCCGAACCACTTACTAAAGGGGTTTGTCATTGGGTTGGGAACGAGAGGAACACATCTGTTTGGGGAAACGCCTTGGTTACTTGAAGGAAACCTTTGCCTTTTAACATTGTTGGCTCCTAATGGTTTGAACTTTCTAGTGAGTGACCTACTTCAACCATCAAATGGTCGCACGAATATCCCTTTGTTGCACACCACTTTCGGTCGATGTGTAAGTCGAGGGGAACCCGTCGTCAAAAGTAAGGCTATGTGGCTAACTTTTGTTGCTACAGTGTACTATGTTTGGAGGGCTACGAACGCAAATTACTTTGATCACTCCTCACTTTGGGTTACCTCTATCACTTTTAAAATCAAAGTTGTGATTTATAATCTTGTAAAAGCTTTTTCCGCCAATTGATTTTTAAGCTTGGCCCGTGTGCAACTTTATTTGATGTTCTCTTTGGTTTTTGGTTGTTGTAAACCGCTCAATGTTCAGAGATTCTCGTCCTATTTGTATTCTTTTTCTTTAAGTTGCAAAATTATTTACATGTCGCCCAAAAAATTGTCGCTCTCAAGAGCCAATGTATTAGCTTTCACCCTAAGGACAACCACCAATAGGTTTCCGCATTCCTAAATGAGCGATAATACTAGCACCTAAAGCTAAACTTTCTTTCTCAAAAGAAGGTTTTTTTTTCCTAGCCTCATTTTCTAGTCATCTAATAACAAATTTGTCCATTACCTCAATTTCCAATATACCAATAAAATCACATTTTTATAATTCAACATAAAAATACAAACTCTAATTTTGTTAATCAAAATTCCTAATTTTGTTATTTGAGCAAAAACCCTCATTTAATTCAATGCACAACAAACTAATTCGATAAAAAAAATTTCTCATAATAGCTAAGTATGCTTCTTCTAAATAATAGTCACTCAAACTAGAAAAAAATCAGCTTACCAGTTTATCATTACCAAAAATATGTTCAACTATTTCAAAGCAAAAATAAATTTAAGGATGAGCTTAGAGATACTTACTGGAAATAAGAGGTAGGGCGACGATGATGAGTGATGCACATCTGAAGACAACAGGTGGCCGATAGCACTGGTGGGCGGTGGCAGTGTGGCGAGGCAGGCGAGTTGGCAGCAACAGCGCAATAGGAGGTTTGAAGGAATTGAAGGTGGGTCGTTGTTTAGGGGATTAGGGATTTGTTTTCGTTGTTTCAATCTTTTCTTTTTCTTTGTCAAAACGATGTCAATTTGCCCTTTAAATTAAAAAGGTCATAATGACATCATTTAGACAAAGGGCAAAAAAAGAGGCTTGAAAGAACCAAAAAGAGAAGAATAGAGAACCGATCACCTAGGCGGCACTAGGGCACCTTCGCCAGAATCTCCTCGGGGGTACCTTTCCCGGAATCGCCTCTGGGGTACGTGCCCTACAGTACGACCCTTTGAATCTTTCCATCAACGTTTAGAATTTTGAGGATACATAAAATGGTAATAGCAATGTTCTAAAAAACTTAGTGCAAGTGTTGAGCTTCCCTTTAAATCTGCCTAAAGTTGGACACTTTTTAAAACATTAGTGGGAAAAAATCAGAACTCAATTCTGTGCATTTGGTCTCTTTGCCATAAAACAGAAAGAGCCCCCTGTCCCAACTCAATGAAATCCTGCAATTATTCCACATGCTCTGCCATCAGATTCCGCAAAATAGCCGTTGCCTCGCCATCAATAACAAGAGAGCCATCACTTTTGAAGCATTTCGTGGAGAACTTGGCCCTAGAATTCAGTTATAAAGCCAATCAAAAGCAAGTGAAGCTCAAACTCGTATAAGTGGAAGAAAAAGAAGAACTAAGCTTAACATACACATATTTTGTTTTCAAATGCTTGATATTCGTTGTGCATACTTTGCCAACTATCTCCTCTCCGATATAGACAGGCAACTTGAAATTTAATGTTTGAGAAACATATACAGCTCCTGGCTATAATTGGAAAAATCCAAACATCGACTCAAATTCATAGAGTATGGTTCAGCATATATATTTTTGATAAAAGAAGGAAAGTTAATGAAGGGTCTTACAAAATTTGAAGCGATTGTTCTTGGAAATACGGAGGCAACAAGCATTCCAGGAACAATCCTGTCACTGAATCCAGCATCCTTGGCACATTCAGGATCAAAATGCAAAGGGTTTGTGTCATGGCTCAGTTTTGAGTAAGCAAGCACATCGGCATCTGTAAATACCTGAGCTTGCTTCAGAATATCCCCACATTTAAGAAAATTGGTAGCTACCAATGAAGAGAATCTACTGGAAGAGGAAACGTAGCTCCGACACACATGTTTCACAAGCATCATTCAATAATCCCGTTAATTTGTCACATCTGAAGATTTAATTTAGGCAAAGGAGACATCCATCTGCTTGAACCTATATAACTTGATGATTGAATATTACAGGAGCAATTTATCAAACCTGCAAAATGTTCAGTTTTATTTAACTGGAGAAATAAATAGGTGAGCAGAATGTTCAGTNATATCTCAAAGGATCTTTTTGGTAAAACAAAGGATCTGTGTTTTTGTGCTTCGAATCCTTCAATTCGCCACCGCTAAGGCCATGCGGTGTGCACGACGGGAGAGGGGAAGCCAGCTGGCGCGGGAAGGGAAGGGGAACACCCACCCCCACCCCCCCCCCCCGCAGGAACGGGAAGAGCGGGAACCCCTCCCCGTTTTTCCTGTTGGCTGAAACGGTCGGATTTTAATTTTTTTGGTGAATTAGCCGTTACAAGTAAAAAAAATTTACCATTTAAGCACAACACTCCACTCATATTTTTTACACACTTCCCATCCATTTCATTGAATTCTCCATTCTTCATAATCATTTTAAACACCTCTCGCCACAATGTCATCTTCTTCATCACATACGATGTTGAATTCTTCTTCTACGTCTTCTTCGGATGAAGCTGAAACTTTTTTCATAAATGTGCTCATGGAGGCGGCAAAAACTTTATCCGAGCATACGGAAATTGGAAGAACTCCAACATTTTCAATGAAATCATTCAAGGTACCAGACCTGATACTTCCCTCACAATTTCGAGGGTGGAATACAAACATGGATATTATCTTGCTGACGGTATATATCCTGAGTATTCGACTATCGTAAAAACAATACCATATATTTCGGATGAGAAAAGAAAGAAATTTGCCAAATACCAAAAATTGGCAAGAAAAGATGTCGAACAACTATTTGGAGTTCTAAGGCAGAGATGACATATTATCCAAAAACCTGGCTCGTGCGTGGTCACCAAAAAGATAAAGATATGTTATGTATGCTTGTCTTATATTACATAACATGATCCTCGAAGATGAAGGGAGGCGATATGTGAATACAATTCGAATGACGTTCTTCAGAACGTCGAAGCGGTGGATGCTACACAACAAGACTTGAACGCGTTTGAGTTATGCAACCAGAATACGCACCTCCACCTACGAGACGATTTGGTAGAGCATTTTTGGAATCTCGCTCCACCGATGGTATTAGATGATTAGGTTTCCAAGATTTTTTAAATATGAATTATGTTTAGGGTGTTAAAAAATTTATGTTTAGGTTTTTATTCAAAATATGAATTGTATACCAATATTTTTATTGTGTCTTAATTATTTAATGTATGAACTTTAGTATTAGTTTTAATTTTATTTAAATGTTCTAGTTTTAGTATTTGAAATTTTTATTGGTTTTATGTTTTTAGTTTAATTATTTAAATTAAAAAAAGTAATAAAAACAATAGTAGTAAAAATTGAAGGGGAAAAGGGGAAGGCATTTCCCTGGAAGGGGAAGGGAAAGTTAAAGCTGACGTGGCGCTGAGTTGGCTAAGGGGAAAAGGGGAAACCATGAGGGCACACCTCATGGCCAAACAGCCCATACTTCATCAATTTTTCATAGTTTTCCTTTTCTATGGGAACTACAAAAACATTGAGGCCCCGTTTGGTACATGGAATTCAAACTATGGAATTGGAATTGGGGACTTCAATTTCAATTCTAGTGTTGGGTAGCACAAAAATTATGTAGATTTGGAATTGATAGTGCAAAAAATGAATTGAAATTTACAGAATTCAATTCTATGGAATTGAATCCCATGGAATTACAATTCCAATTCAATCCCAATTCCACCAATTCCTTATACCAAACGGACCCTGACAAGATTTAACTTTTGTGGTAGCTTAATGAAAAAAATGAAGGAAAAAAATAAAACAAGTACACCAACTATATGCTATTACAGCAGAAAACTAATGAATCATTAAAATACAACATAACATACCATAGAGGTCTGCATATAAATATATACTGGTAATAGATGTACAGGAGCTGCCAATTCCCAAGTTTAGATCTGCATTATGGTTTACTCAATAATAAGTGCCAGACTGCCAGATACGTTCACAAACACGAATGACCAGTAAACCAATTACTCGTATGTAGAAAAGAAGATGCGAAAGAAAAAAAAATAACAATAAATAAAAATGTAGCACATAAACTACCAGAGAAAAACACAAACAATATAGGAAATTGCAAATTTGTGAACCCTAGGCTTCGGCTATTCAGCTTCAAATCCACAAATAACTGATTGCATGGGAAAAATACCCAAATAATATGTAAAATAAACCAAACATTCCAAATATTCAACATTATTTTAAAATTGAAAAATCTAGACTTAGGGTTTCCGCACGGCAGCGGATGGAAGCGGCTGGTTAAGGTTAAGGCCACTTAAGGCTGGTGCTATCCGCTGCCATTTCGGCTTACTGGAAATTTAGGAAAGGGGAGGGCTGAGGTGCAATGGCGGAGCAAGGATGGAAATGTGGGAGGGGCACCAGTTTCAAATAAATATTCAAAAAATATTATTAAATTCTCAAGAAATATACCTTAAAATAAGAAACATCAAATTCGTCCATAGACCATAGCTATAATTCCTTATAAAATGACAGTATCACTAGTTACACCAAATTCAATTTTGTTTTCAATTTTTTAAAGTTTCAGCAAATCAATTGCTTCATTTTTTCTTAAATCGGAAATCAATTAGTTTATTGAACATTAACAAAAAAAAAGGAATTTCATACTCAATAAATAATGATGGAGGGGAAATAGGAAACAAAAACCCAAATTGCTTAACCAAAACACGGAGTATAAATTGATCGTCACGAATTCATGATCAACAGCTTAACAATTAAAACATTGAAGTCTTCAAACAAACAAACAAAATACCTGGAGGCCGAGAAGGGCTGAGGTCTGGCGTCAGGCGAAGGAGACTGACAGGGAGCAGAGGAAGCCGTGCGGGAGCCGATCAGAGGTTTGAGAATTGTTTTTAAAACCATGCTACAATCAGACTTTGGTTTACAGTGACAAAATGTTGGTGCCTTAATAAAAATTTACACGGACAAAAAGTGTTGATGCATTAACAAAAATTAGTTTTACACCAACACAAAATGAATGTTAGTGCAAATATGTGGGGTACAAATAGCTTAATCCTTGTTTTTAATCCTACCCTACATTATTTAGGCACTTATGCTTCGTTCAATTATTTTTTCTACTTATTATAATTATACCAGATCAAAAACAATTTTGATTATAATTACAATCAGATCAGATCAAATCAGACTAGATTAGATCTTCAAAAAATCAGATGAGGCGAATGAACGCAGCCTTAATCTTATTAAAATCGAATTCAAAAATGTAATTAGATCAAATCAAACCAGATCTAATTATTATTATTGTTATTGCAACATATTATTTTCATCAACTTGTAGAAAGAGGTGTGTGGAGTCATGGAGAAACATGTCTAGTCACGGAGAAAAGACAACATCCATCCTGACTTATTATTATTATTACTCTCATTGTACGGAAAATATCATTCATATTTGATTTTTCTTGATCAATGTTTGTAGACTTTGACCTTGGTACATGAAAAAATAGTTTTATTATGATATAAATGTAATATCAATACATTCATGTTGAAATATAGTTTTGAAATATCTAATTTTTATAAAATATATATCTATGCATAAATTTATATATTAATGGTCAAAGCATAACATTGAAGACCGTTAATAGTCAAATGAGAAGAAAACATTTTTGAATGGAGAGAGTATTATTATTATTATTATTGCAATCTATCATATGACATGAATGATTTTGATCTGATTGAAATAAGTTTTAATATGATACAATATGATCTGATCTGATCTGAAAGTAATTATATCTAAAATTGTTTCAAATCTGATCTAATCTAATCCGGTATGATCTGATTTTAATAAAAAAAATTAATAAGTAATAGGAATAAATTGAAGAGAACATGTCATAAATCTCATTATCTGTACGAGATCACCCCTACTTTATAATCTATTAAAATTATATCTTCATTTCTTTATTTTTCCTATAATCATTTGTTAATATAAAATAATAAAATTACTTTTTATTTGTAATATTATTTATGAAACTTTTCAAATATAAAAATTCATTTTAGTATTTAAATAAATTAAATTAAAAATAATTTTAATTTTTAATGAACCATCTTTATTTCAAAATGTGAAAAATTAAATAGGGAGGGAGGGATTAGATGGAGAGAGGTTTTAAGGAGTATTTTACTCCGTATATAAGGAGTGTGATTAAAATAAACATTTTATCTAACACAAAACGTATGAAACACAGTCTTGGTAATAAATTGTTAAATTCTCCTCAATTTTTTGCATTTCTTTCTTACCTTGATAGTCTTGACTCTTGATCCATCAGTTTCCTGGATTTGTTGATCTGCTTTGTCTGCAACAAGGGCCAAGTGCTGATCTTTGCTTTAAAGCTCTTCTTGGGGTGTCCTGGTTAGCGGTTTAAGGCTAAAAATCTCATCTTGTGCATCACAGAGAGGTAAAATCGAGGGTTTTCTCAGATGGGTTTCTTGGGACGGCGAAGAAGGTAAGGGGTTGAGGATGAAGCTTTAGAGATATACCCCTGTATGTATCGGTGAGCTTGGTGTGGGTGGGGTTTCATCAGGGGTTGGCTTAATTTGTATAGATTCGTGATGGGTGGGTGTTTCCCTTGCTTTGGATCATCAACCAAGGGAGTAAGTAGGGTGAAAGAGGTGGCTAAAGAGTCTTTCAAGGATGGCTCTGCTGCACAGCCTAACAATGTGAACAAACTTAGTGCAGGTCTCTTCTCACTTCTCCAGATCCCTTTTGTGGCCAATAGTTATTACGGAGTATAAATTTTAAATATGCATTACTGTTTTTCTTGGAATGCTTTGGACCCTTTATGAGTTCAATTTCGGCACTGAAGTTTTACTGTGATGAGACTGTTTTTAGCAGTCATTTTTGTTGTGTTGATCTCAGTGTTTTTTTTCTATAATTCGATTCATAGGTTTGAGGTGTTGATCATGACATGAATATATATTTTTTTCTTCTAATTGTAGCTACATTTTAATACTAGTGCATATCTGTGATCTCATTTAGCCACAAGTCTAAAAATTCTTAGTTCCATGATTTCTTCAGAAATTGCTAATAAGTACCCTTGACTATGGGCTTGGAAAACCATAGTGTATGAAGCCTTGGCAAGAGCTTTCATAGGAATAATGTACAAATAGGTGCACTCCTAGCCAGAAAAGGTCATATCTTTGATAGTTGGCGCTCGCCGTTGGCAGGGTTTTTAGGTGATTAGCCTTGTGTTTGCAAGTTAGGAGAATGTTCTTAGAGACAGACACTTCATAGGAGGGACATTTCTGAATACCACCTTCTTCATCTTGCTTATAGAGATTTTTAATGTTGATATTTGACATGATCACGCAATTGGTGTTATTGTAAACTGATATAAAACTCACTCCTCACACTATGTGTCACAGTTTTTGGGGTAGAGGTAGGGTCTGTGTACATCTTACCTTCTAATGAGATTTCCCGGGTTTGTTTGGATTGGTTGCTTTATATATTGGCATAAAACATAGTAATCAAATCATTCATATTTAAAAGGGAAGTAGTTATTCAAATGATATCACTGTTTTTCCACGTTTTTTAAACATGCAGATAAGAGTAAATCTCGGAATAATAATGATTCCAAGAAAGAGCCAACTGTTGCAAAAGATGGTACAACAGCTAACATTGCTGCACAAACGTTTACATTTCGTGAGCTTGCTGCTGCAACAAAGAACTTTAGGAGTGAGTGTTTGCTTGGTGAAGGTGGTTTTGGGCGTGTTTATAAAGGCCAGCTAGAGAGCACTGGGCAGGTGAGTACTCTTTCCTGAAACTCAACTATGCAAGAACATACAAAATGGCATTTGGCATATTTATCTATTAATTTTGATTCTCGGCTTAACCATTATTTCTTGTCAATTTATTATACTCCCTCTGTCCCAAAATAAGTTTCCATGGTTGACTGGGCACAGTTATTAACAAAAGTAAAATTTTGTGGTTGGGATTTGAGGAAAGTGGAACCTTTCTTTGGATCTAAGAGAAAAGAAAATGTGGAACCCTTTTAATGGACATGAGTAGTCTTATAAGTCTTAGAAGTTGGATCTCTAGTGTGATTTTGTTTAAGTTGCACTCTTATATGACATATATTTCTCTAAAACAAATGGTGGTGCTTGCAGGTAGTTGCTGTTAAACAGCTTGATCGGAATGGTCTTCAAGGGAACAGAGAATTTTTGGTGGAGGTTCTAATGCTTAGCCTCTTGCATCACCCCAACCTTGTCAACTTGATAGGTTATTGTGCAGATGGCGACCAACGTCTCCTTGTTTATGAGTTTATGCCTTTGGGTTCTCTTGAGGATCATTTGCATGGTTAGAATGTCTCTCACCTTCTCTTGCTCTCTCATTGTGTTCTTTCTTCTATTTAATCATTTATCATGTCGTAGTTACTTCGCATTTATTATTTTTACATCAATTCCTCTTTAAAAGCTCGTACTTTTTATGAATTTCTCCCGTAGTAACATGTGTATGCATTTATTATGCACTTCTTCTAATAGTGATATGCGTATGTGCAATAGAAGGCAAATTTTATGCCAAGTATTGTATGCCTAGAATCACTGTCCCGGTTTCTTTTGTGTTAAACTTAAAAATTCCAATCTGACTATAGCGTGTAGTTGCGAAAAGCATTTATTTCACTGATCTATTGAAGCTTAAGCATAATAATGGAGATGTATAGCAGTTATTCAACATGTCATCTGATTTAATTTTAATTAGACAATGGTGCAGAAAAGTATATATTTCTAAGGAAAAATGTCGAGAATAATCCAACCTATTGCTGAGCTGCTTAAAATAATATTAACTATAAGCTATTTTAAAATAATTGAAACTATTGATATACTCTTCTGAAATCAGAGTTATGACCTGTGTATAATCTTCTTTCAATTCCTTCTTTGCATTGGTTATTATTAATTTTTTTCTTTTAAAAAAATGAAAATTTTTAATCTGAAAAATCTCAACAAAAATACTCCCTCTATTTGAAAGTATGTTCTCATTTAACTTTTCACTCTTCATTACCACAATTTAACCATTAATGTGTATGTGTATACTCTCATCCCACCAAGATCTTCTTACTCTTTTTTTGGATGTCATAAAAAAATTTCATACTTTCAACAACAATAACATTACCCCAGTGCCTCAAAGGCTCCCCATCCATTGCGGGGTAAGGGGTGGTCGGGTACACAACCTAAATCCTATGTTTAAAACATAAAGCAACTGTTTTCAGATTACCCATAATTAACATTGACAATTGCATCGACTAATTGCTACTTCACTATAAAAGAAGCACACACATTTCAAAGATATTTTGCTTTATTCCATCACACCCCAAAGCCAAAAAATTCTTACCTTATTTCCTTTTACAGATATTAATATGTGGCTTATAAACTTTTTTCTCTCATCCAAGTAATTTCAACCATTTTCATTTCAACACTTTAACTCTGTGAAACTCAAAACATGATTTTTTTGGGGGGTGGATGGAGTATATAAATAAATATTGCGTAGTATAAAACATGTTATTTTAATACAACACTTTGAACTTAATCAAATGATATTACGTTTACATTACAATTAACTGAGTTTTTTAAAAATCAAAGTCAAACCTTCAAACTTGACCAAGAAAAGTTATTTTGGGACTCATAGTAATTTATGTAGTAGGTTATTTTTTAATTTTGTAAAAAGGTTTTCTTTTTAAAACATATACTCCGTATTAGTTAATGTATAAAAATATGAAATCAAACAATATTGATAGTTTACAATTAGTATCTTAGGAAATGTGAGACAAATTTTTAAAAATACACTAAAATAAATGTTAGACAACTTTAAAATAATAGAATTAAAAAAATAAAAGTAATATATTTTTATAGAATAAATTTATCCGATTCACGGGTACGTATGGTGGACCGGATTGATCATTCTCATCAAATTATTCAAACAAAAAAAACCTAGTATAACAGGTCGTAGGTAGTCACGGTCTATTTTAAGAAAACTAGAGCAATAATTGGGATTATATTGGAATAACTTATAGTCGGGATTATACAGAGCAGACCAGCAATAGTTGAGATTATTTTCATCAATTTTTCCTATTTCTAACATCCTTAAATTTAGTTAATAAAGTATAAAACTAAAAGGTGATTTGGTTGAATAATTCTTGTGATTGGAAATAAACTAATGTGAGGAAGCTTGGTCAAATCTTATTTTGAGCTTGGGACGGTTTACGTTGTAAAGTTAGACAAGAAAAATAATCTGTTCTTCGTGCCATGTGAAGTGCACACTAGTATAGGATGTAATCAAGGATTCCAAGTATTAAGGAATGCAACCTTTTGTGGATGTAGATAAAGATGAAAAGGCACTGTAATTTGAGACAGCTTATAATGGAAACAATGGATTATTGCTATCTCCATCTCAAAATAAACTTCTTGTTTTTTTTTGGGTCGCCCAAAATAGACTTCTCATTCCTTTCAAAGAAAACATTGAATGTTTCACATTATTCCTCTCTTGTGCATAATCTCAACCATGCATTTTTTCATAAACTCCGTGAAAAAATAAACAGAAAGTTTGATTTGGGACAGAGGGAGTAATTAGGTTGGGTCATATTCATTTTGTTTTGGGCGATTGGAGATAACTGTTATGAAATTCTATTATATATTCATGTTCATATAAGTATTTATAGTCACAAAATCCCACATTTGTTTCTTCATCACTCTACCTGTGGTTGGGGTTTTATAGTTCTTTTATACATCAATTCAGCTCAATGACAAGTTACGTCTGATTGTATGGCCATTGAAACATAATACCCCCTCTGTTCCAAAACGAACTTCATGATTTGACTTCACGGAGTTTAAGAAAATTTTTGAAAGGTAAAAATGTATTATTGAATTTTTTTGGAGGAGAGAAAACTTGTGAGACATGTTTCATTCATAAATAGGAAAAAGGAGAAGTGTGATTTATTTTTTTTGGAACGAAAGTGTAAAGTTTATTTAGGGACAGAGGAAGTATAATATTACTTCAAGAGAAGTTTTCTCGTCAGGTTGTGAGGAGATTAAATTTATGAATGAATGTCCAATGCAGTACTTTCTTGCAAATCAGGTACTGCTTAAACAATTGCTCATCCACCAATGCTTTTAAGAACAAATGGTGTTCATGAGTCATTCATCATCATTTCATCACCTTAATCCCAGCTATGCTTAGGTCAGTAGCGTGAGGCGTGAAGTGAGAGGCCTCTCACTTTCTTTTCTAGGTTTTCCCATTTTGAACCTCAATCAATTTTCTATCTCCAGCTTTTCGGTTATCTAATCTCCGTATTGATCCTGACACCACCTAATGTCACTTGAAAAAGATATCCCGTCCGTCCCATGATTTGCTTTCTGATTTTTGCTTGTTCTAGGTTCTAGTCGAGTACATAAACATGCTTCAACTTTTACTTACTCCACAAGATTAAAGACCTCGTTGTTTTACCTTTTGCCTCGGTTGTTGAAAACTTTTATATGAAAGTTTCACCTCAACTTTGTTTATTACTTTTCAACTTTTTATTCCATTTATCCAAACTCTAGAGACTCCAGTACCACGTTCAAGTTACCAGTTAAAATTTTCTTTAGTTTCATAGTATATTTAATCTAGGTTCCAGTTACCAGATTTTGGTTTCCAATTACCAGTTTCCAGATTCCGGTCTCCAGACTCCACACACTGAACTCTTGTTAAAATTAAAGCGAATAAGTACAAGGCCTTAATTAATGTCTTACTCCATGGACATATTTTAATCTTATTAGAATAAATAAATGTTAGTAGTTTTTTTCCCTCTTTATTTATAGTTAGGACTCAGGAACTATGATCTCTGTGAACCTTCATTGTATTAAGTTGATGTGGGGAACACTTGTCATCAGATCTAACACCAGACAAAGAGCCATTGGACTGGAACACGAGGATGAAGATTGCAGCCGGTGCAGCAAAAGGGTTAGAGTATTTGCATGACAAAGCAAATCCGCCTGTGATATACAGAGATTTAAAATCTTCAAACATACTTCTTGATGAGGGATATCACCCAAAGTTGTCGGATTTTGGGCTTGCAAAACTGGGCCCCGTTGGAGATAAGACTCACGTGTCTACACGAGTGATGGGAACGTATGGTTACTGTGCTCCCGAGTATGCTATGACTGGTCAGCTCACTTTGAAGTCTGATGTTTACAGTTTTGGGGTTGTCTTCCTTGAACTCATCACCGGACGCAAGGCTATTGATAATTCAAGGACTCCCGGAGAACACAATCTTGTTGCATGGGTATTTGTTTCTACTTTTTCATCAGTTGTTTATACTCCATCCCAAAAAAGTTTTCTCACTCCTTTTTCATTTGTCCCAGAATAATTTTCTCAGTTTTTCTTTCCATTTTTGGAAAAGAATATGCAATCCAAAATATTTCTCTCTTCTTAACAAATTCGAATCACTCACATTTCAACTTATTTTCATCTTTTCAATACTTCTATATTAAATCAAGTGGGAAACTAATTTGGGACGGAGGGAGTATGTATATTGACAAGGCTCTATAAAGTATTGTTAATAGTGTAGAATGCTTAACTTAAGGGGCTGTTTGAATGAAGGGCTTACTCTATTTCTTGATGTAATTCATATAAAAAAGTACGGAGTTTACATCAAGATATAAACTAAGCTCTCCAAAGCTTTCTTTTTAATCTCAGCATCCAAACGGGCCATAACAGTTCCAAATAGTTGATTCAATAAATAGTGCAGTTTTATTGGTCTGAGTTTATTTATTTAACAAGATTTTGTGCCGTCCCTTTGTTCTTGTAGGCCCGGCCACTGTTCAAAGACAGGAGAAAGTTCCCTAAAATGGCAGACCCACTACTGCAAGGGCGTTATCCTATGAGAGGACTTTACCAAGCACTTGCTGTGGCAGCCATGTGCTTACAGGAACAAGCCGCGACAAGGCCCCTGATAGGAGATGTTGTGACTGCTTTGACATATCTTGCCTCTCAAACATACGACCCGAACGCATCAGCCCGTGTCGGTTCAGCTACCCCCAGGCGAAACACGTGTGGGGCCCACAGCCCAGACGACCACAGCTCCTCCCCTTCCATCCGGAGAAGAGATTCTTTCAAAACTGGTGGTGCCGAGCTGAAAAGGGTCGAAACTGGAGGCAGTGGTGGCGGTGGTTCTGCAAGGAAACTGGGTATGGACGAATCAGAACGGTCCGATTCTCAAAGAGACAGCCCAGTGGGCAGAGCCAAAGATGCCCAGAGGAACCGTGACATTGACAGAGAACGCGCGGTTGCATTGGCAAAGGTATGGGGGGAGAATTGGAGGGAGAGAAAGAATAAGGCTGGCGCAGGGGGTAGTTTTGACAGCACGAACGATTGAGAAAAACAGAAAGTTTGGTTTTTTTTAAAGTTCATTCGTCGCAACGCATACATCTTTTCAGTGGTATGTTTGGGTCGATTCTTGTCCGCGTTGAAAAGGGACGGGGATGTGTCGTTTATGGTGAACGAAAATACTCTGTAAAGTAGGGATGCAGATACATACATACACACATACATGTTGATCTTTGTATTTAGGGGTTTCATGAAGTTGCAGATGCCAAAAAAAGTTGGGAAGAAATATGTATTTAGGTCTCTCTTTTTTTAAATTTTTTTTTAATATTTGTCTTCAATGTGAATGTGTATTTTGGTATAATGGTATGTGCATTAAATGTTGGGTGAGTTTTCTGAACTCAAGTTTCATATGGCCATTTTTTGGGGGGTGATGTGATGTTCACAGGAATGCAAATATATTTATATCCTTGAAGGAAATGCCACAATTGACACTACTTTTTGACACTACTTAGAAAATTATAAATGAAACAAAAAAGAAATGGTGTTAAAACTTAAGACAACATTATACTTTTCTGCTTTGGAATAACTGAATGCCATAGCAAAACATTTTGTTACTGTCTTTTTATTTATTTTTGACTACTTTGCTTTAGTGCTTATTTGTTTATTCCAGTTTGAAAATGAGACGGTTAATTGAGTATGTGAAGTAAATTTTCATATACTCCCGTTGATAATGTTTACCAAATAATATAATGGTATCATTTCTTATTTTGCAAGTTTTCTAATATATTTTTTAAATATATACTCCCCCGTCCCAAATTATAATGCATGTTTACTATTCACAGGGTCAAACTTCATTCACTTTCTTTCTCTATTTTCGTTAGCAATTTGATAAAATAAAATATTATTGTCACTAGTTTTGTAGATCTTTTGATATAATTTTTTAATATATAATTTTTATTTTTTAATTCTATACCATTTGTCATATAAAATAATTTCAGTCAAACATCGTAAACCGAAACAGGCGTTATAAAATGGGACGGAGGTAGTAATACAAGTAAATTTTATGAAGTACGTAGCATTATTTATTTTTATAGCATAAACCAAATTGTGTTTCTATTTTGAGGCGGAGGTAGTATCATTCAGTTAAGATTCTTCAACTGAGAAATCCAATCAGTCCAGAATTGGAAACAAACCAGTTCAAGTTAAGCCACAAAATGATACCCCATTTCTAGCTTGTACTAACAAAATTAAAGGATTTCCTATGGGGGGTTTTCCACTTGCTATAACAACATGACTTTGAAATCAGTTGAGGGAACAACTTAACATATAAACAGATAGATACTCGGTACATTTTTACTAGTCACGACAACATAATTAGTTCTTCTATTGTTCCATTGAAGGAGAAGAACACGAAGCAGCTTGCCTACATCTCGTGATTCCTGCGTGCTTCCAAGATTCATGTCCAAAATGTGCAATGTCTACTGGACAGTACGCTTTTTTCTCTTTTAACCAAAACGGGAAGGCTCCCAAAGAATCCAGCAAAAGAGCTTGACTTTCATATCATTTCTTTCGTCCCTGGGCAGTGGGAGGAAAATGATTTTAATTACTTGAGTGAAAAAAAAACATTAGGGAAATGGGAAATGAAAAGTTTCAGAATCTGAGACGTATATAGTGTTACCGAATTGACATAATCATCCATAGATGACTGCTTCCGTTTCTTCGAGTTTGGAGGGCTCTCTGCAGTCTGCCTTGGCAGAGCAGGCCGCTTTGAAGTCGTGGTCATCTGTGTTAAGAATGGTAATTAGTTAGAAACCAAAGTCCCAAATTTCAAGAGTTTAGTTTCTTCTTTTTTTCAATTTTGGAACAAGAAAAAAGGAAAGTAGCAAACCTTGGCAAGTTTCTTTTCCTTCCGGGCCTGTCTCTCCTGCTCGTCATATTCTTGGTTTTCCTTCTCAATCAGTCTAATGAGGGTATCACACCTCCTTGCCAACTCCTGGGCAGTTCGAGACTTGACAAACCAATCAAAACGGAACAAAGGGGATGTGCGGAATGCAGCTTTCAACTCGTCCCAATTTCCGTACCCTATCTTGTGAACCATGCACATCTGACAAAAAGAAAAAAGATTGAGAAAAAACCATCAAAATATGAATGAATCCTCCGGGAAAAAAATGGGAACTTAAGAAAGGAATTTTAACAAAACTTACCATAAAACGATCACATTCCTCGTTGTAGAACTTGCCCTTGTTCTGACCATACAGGATCTTTAACTCTAGCCATGGGTTCTTGTAACGATCCAATTTTTTCCCGATTGCTTTCATGATCTCATCTCTTCGGGAAATTCTTGCTTCTCCTCTTTCAATGTTCTTGATGATCCTATCGTAATCTGAAAATACAGATCATTAAAATCAAAACTCAAACTTGTAAGCTGGACAATACACCACAGCAGAAGTCCTTTAAAAACTACTTTTTTACCATTTAATTCTTTGTATCTTTCTTTGAAAACTTTTGCATATTTTTCAACTTCCTCTTCTGTTTTCCCTTCAATTTCAGCAGCAATGCTTTTAATATCATTACGGCCATATTTCTCGCAGGCCCTGATGAAAGTATTGAAGTCCCTTCTGCTCCACGATGAAAATCCCTATACATCAAAAAGTCTTCCAGATCATATAAAGTGGGTAAGTGTATTATTTCTTCGATTTTGAAACATTGCAGTCACTTACACGTTCCAAGAGGCGTTCTTTTTCTTCCTGTTCTTCAGGAGTCAAAGGTTCTCCAACATCTAGGGAAATTATGATTGGTTAGAAAGAACATCATAACAATGGACACCGAGATGCTCTCATCAGAAATTCTGTTAACATAGTAACATACCTTCTGTTTCCTCCATATCTATCGTGTCTTTCATTTGAATCTTCTGCTGTCGTTGCTGTAATAAAGAACCGTGAATGAGTCAACACAATGAGGGCAAAGAAGTGAATTGAACTTAAATAAAAAATGGGCCCACCATGAGGCAACGGACTTCCTTCTCAAACAGCTCACTAAGTCTCTGTGTATTGAAGAACTGGAAGTCATGCCTACAAGGCACATAAATAGGGAAAGAAAAAAGGAAAGTGGGTTTAGGTCCAAAAAGATTAGATATTACTAAAAGGAAGATATCACTGGAGGTGCCTAGTGCTTACAGCTGAGGCATGCGAGGAATTCGAGGCTCTTTGGGTTTTGTAGGGCCATTTTGACGCATTGTTTGCTTGAAGTATTCTGACTCTGAGTAACTAATAACAACAAGGGTCAACTATCATAAATACAAAGGGAACTTATTATGATATGGAAAGTCAGCTGAGACTTTTAGATGCATACTTTCGCTTTCGTTCTCTTCTTGGTGGCTCAATCCAATTTTCACTAGCAATCTTCTTAAAATCAACCTTGCTTTCATCCTTCATTGATAATTAAGCAAATCAGAAATGCATCACACACACACAACCAAACCCAAAAACATTAGATTGTACGCAAACCTTTTCATCGTCAAAGTCATAGATATCTGCCGCTGCACAAAAATGAGAAATAGATAAAGCCTTCACACCAACAGAGTATAACATACTCCATATAGTATAAAATAGGACACAACGAAAAGATAAACAACGTACAATCGTCCATCTTAAATTTGATGGCATCTTCTGTAAACTTCTTCATCTTAGCATCAAGTTCAGCTGTTGCCTCCTCTCCTTTAGCAATGATCCTATCAATATCTTCATCTGTGATGGTGCTATCCTTAGAACTGAAAACCATCTCAGCACCAAACCTTACCATCTGCAGTAGCTCATCCTTATTTACAGCTGTTAAGTATCAAGTCAAGGATTCAACATTAGTTTATTAAAACTCCAACTATATTTTCAAAAAAGGAAACTATGCATAATCTTACTTTTTTGTTCTGCCAGTCTCCCTTGCTGGATAACCAAAGCATCAAGCGCAAGCTTCTTGTAAGCTCTTTCAATCACCTTTTCCTCAATTGCATACTGCTCATAAAAATTACAATCGGCTAACGTCAATTTATGTCAATGCTTGGTTAACTCAATAAAATTATAAAACAAGACAAACCTCTGTGCAAAATCGAAACACTTGCACTTCCTTCTTCTGACCAATCCTGTGAGCACGATCTTGTGCTTGCAAATCAACCTGTGGATTCCTGCAAAATGGTGAACACAAGACTGTTGTGTTAAAATTATTATAATGAAGCATCCAGGTTGCATGATCCCGAGCTACAACTCAACCTGTTGATTTCTGTCAATTTTTACCAAAGTACATAAAAGCATCCAGTGCCACCAAATAGAGTAAGTTGAATTTCCTTACCAATCACTGTCATAAAGTATTACAATGTCTGCAGTGGCCAGATTGATTCCAAGACCCCCAGCTCTAGTGGATAACAAGAAAGCAAACTTCTCACTTCCAGGCTTGTTAAAGGTTTCAATGGAAGCATCACGATCCTCCCCACCGGTATTTCCATCAATCCTGCAATATTGATGGCCACGGTACATCAAGTAATCTTCAAGGATATCCAAAAGTCTGGTCATCTGCATTGCAAGATCAGATGAAATTGCTTAGTCAATGCCCTCTCAGAGTCACGAAAAGGAAAGTAAGAATCATACTGAGTAACATTAATAAGCATATACAGACCTGTGAGAATATTAACACCCTTGAACCGCGCTCCTTTAGTTTTGGTAGCAGTTTATCCAGAAGAACCATTTTGCCTATGATAAATACATAAAGACAAATGGCAGTATAAGCAATCAAATGGAATGCAAACAGTATATACAGAAAGACAGATACAATGATACATTAACATTACCAGCATTCTCTATAAGATGCTCTCCGGTAGTATAAGGTGGTCCTGGTTCAGCTCCCTGAAAAAGATATGGATGGTTGCAGCATTTCCGCAGCTGCATTGCTATATTCAGAAGACGCTTGCGCTCTCCACCAGAATTTATAACTTCTAGATCTTTTTGCAACAAAGCTTTGTAATACTGCTTCTGCATTTGGGACATTCCAACCTTGAGGATTGTTTCTTTCTTTGGGGGAAGACCTTTCTCAACATCAGACTTCAACCTCCTGAGGAGAAATGGTCGAAGGACCTGTGTTTGGAAAATGAAAATGATTCATTAGACAGCCAAAACAAACCAGCCAGAAGTGATGTGTTTAATATCTTTAAAATCCAAGGCTGAGAACTGATAGCAATGCTGCAAACCACAAGATACTAGAGTTATACTCCCTCCGTCCCATGAAACCTTTCTCCTTTCTTTTTTTATCCGTCCCACAGAACACTTCTCATTTCTATTAAAATGTCACTTTTACCCCTTACTTTTTCATACCCTAACTATCACATCATACCTTTTTACTAATAATCTATCCATCAAATCATACTTTTACCCATCACATCAAAGGACATTTTTGGAAATTCAATATCAAAATACACTCCCCTTAAATCCCTCCTAAAAAGCAAAAGTCCCATGTTTCATGGGACGGAGGGAGTAGCATATATGGTTTTTGTCTCGTACAGTTTGCATGAGCAGCGCAATGCTTTGGAATCCATGTTCAGCAAGAAAAATCACATAAACAAAGGTACTTGTTTAAAAACTGCTAACATAAGTGTCCAAAGATAATTCCTCAAATATAATCACTCCCTCTGTCTCAAAAAACCTATCCACTCCCTTTTCATCCACTTTCCACTTCCAAAAAACACTTCCACTTTCAACTAAAAGCCCTCTTTTTCCCCTACTAAAATTAACCTACCTATCACGTCAAATCAACTCACTATTAAACTACTTATCACATCCTATTCTACCCTACTACTACGTATAAAGTAAGGGTGAAATTGGAAAGTAAATCCAAAACTACACATTCCTTAAATGACACCTTTTTCTGAAGTGGAAAACTTTATGGGAAGGAGGGAGTATTTAAAAAGGAAAATGCTTGTATCTGAAAAATATACCTTGTGAAGCTGTTGGACAACCTCCTGCTGGTCATTCTCACCAGAAATTTGGAACCATTCATCAAAAGTTTCTGCTGAGCTAAAGATCTCCGGCAGCAAGAAGTTGAGAAGAGCCCAAAGTTCATGAAGATTATTCTGCATAATCAAACATATGTCATCCAAATCAATCAACCACATGCTCAATCATAGAACACAAGATTCATTAATCACAATAACAGAGGAAAGAAAATAATAGGGCAGAAGCATCTTCCTAACATTCTCAGTTTCTCACTATATACGATGACTGGGTGTAATAACAAAGCTAATGTAAGTATGTAACTAGCTTTCTTCTGCAACAACTACAGAGTCACACACTAGTCTCAAATTTGAGTATGAAATAAAATTACCTGCAGAGGGGTCCCTGTGATAAGTAACCGATAATTAGCATTATAAAGTCTCATGGTCTTTGACAAAAGAGAGTTTTCATTTTTGATACGATGAGCTTCGTCAATGATAATGTAGCGCCAACTAAACCGGCGAAGTGCAGTCTTCTCTTTAATAACCATTTCAAAACTTGTTACACATACATCAAACTTTCCAGCAACAAGTAACTCCTCACGTATATGTTTCTGAAAAGTAAGAATAACTTAATGAGAAAATCTAGAAGATCACATAGAATATGGAGTTTAAGCAGTCTTTATATGACTTACCCTCTCATCTGGGTTCCCAAGAAATTTGACAGCACGTAGAACTGGGCAAAAGCGTTTGATTTCATTCATCCAGTTACCCAGTGTAGACTTCGGAGCAACAACCATATGAGGACCAGTTATTCCTCTAAACTCATGTAGGTACCCCAATAAAGAGATTGTTTGCAAAGTTTTACCAAGCCCCTGGAACATTCAAAGCAGTAAACAGAAAAATCTTATGCTAAAAAACATACTGTTTTAGTGTTGATTTCAATCAAAGTGATATTGTTCAAATGACCAAATGAGCTTCCAAATTTACCATTTCATCAGCAAGTATTCCATTTATGCCATTTTCATAGAGTCGTATGAGCCAGTTCAAACCAGCAAGTTGGTAGTCACGCATCTTTCCTTGAATACCTGTAGATACAGATATTCATGAGTACTTGATGCAAAATAGATTTTATTAGAAACCTTCATGGCCTACGAAAAATATCTAAATGAACATAAAATGCAATTGACAGAGCCTCCACATGCTGTTGTCTCAGCAACTCTGAGTAGTTTATGCATTTCACTATTTAAGAGACCCACAAGATCACAGATGCTACATGTGTGCGAAAACCCAACCAAAATTTAAAAATGTAGAGATGGTAGCAACTACTCATTCATTAGCAATGGAATAATTATTTACTCCATATTTTTAATTTAAAAAATGCCCTTACAAGAGGGTTGCGCCACAAGCCGAGTATTTCCAGAAATCCCATCTTCTTCATCCTTGAGATACTCTTCATCCTCTTCCTCTTCAGTCACTTTTGATGCATGGCGACCCCTATAATAATCATCATTTTAGATATTTAGAATTTTCAAACTATTTAAAATTTCCCATACTAAATACCTAATAAAGCTCTTTTTATTTTCATTCAACAATAACAGATATCAACTGGCTACTAGAACGCAGGTAGATCACAACTGAATTAAAGTGGTGGTAATTAAGAAGCAGGGAAAATAGAAATAGCTGCCAAGAGAGTATTGATATACCTTCCTTTTGCCTTCTTCTGAGAAGTCTGGTCACCTTTTGCAAAATGAGCAAATATCTCTGTTTGCTGCAGGAGATACTTAAGGCGGCCCTTTCCTTTTTTGTTCTGCAACACAAACACAACAAATTAACACAACTCCAGAATCATACAACCCCACCTGCAATAGAAACAAATGATTGAGTTTCCACACCATGTCAGCATCAATGCTCGCATTTTGTGCATCCAAAATTTCTTGTATCTTCTGTTTCTTAAGTTTCTGCATTTCTTTCAGTCTGGCTTTTTCATGCTTCGCAATTCTGCTACTTGCAGCATCATTTTCCTGCAATGATGACATGTATACAGCACAGATTAATTGGGCTAAACCTGACCAATTCTATTTGCCAAAAATTGCAATAAGGACTGGCAGATATGAAACCTAATACTCCCTTTGTCCAAATAAAGGAACTGTTTCAGAAAGGTATGACTTCTTCGCATTAGTAAGCTACAGCCACAGAGTAATGAAAATCATCAAATATAGCTATATTTTAAAACTTGCTTCTTTAACTAAATTTAAATTACTCAACTTGTTTATGACAATCTTTTATAAACAAACATTAAAATGATGAAAATTGGCTCCTTTTGTTCAAATATGACTCTTTTGGGACAAAATTGAGTTTTAATATAAATTCCTCATATTCCAATACAAATCTCTGCCTGCAGTAAGAAATTTTTGGGATTGGCAGCCAAAAAGTTTCGTACTGTTACATTTCTAGCCAGTACTCAGAACTAAAATGCCATAGAAATATCAATTTCATCCAAAAATGGGTGAAATGACAGATGCTTTTTTCAGGAAACACTGAACTTCAAAAGTTCAGTACATGCAGTGACTTTCTATGACAAACTATCTCATATGAAAACCTATCAAAATGAAAAGCTGCAATAATGCGAGTATATAGCTAGGAATTCCGGATAAATTCTCCCAGACAACCCAAACACTTAAGATCTACCACAACCTATCATCCCTAGGAAATCACAATGCAGCCGGCATAAAAGTAGCGAGAATACACCGGAGCAACTCCACACAAACCTCGTTCTCGTCGTCATCTTCACCGCCAGAGGCGGCAGCGGCATCATCATTGTCTTCTTCCTCGGCATCCTGATCCTCGTAGCCGGAGTCCTCCCCGGTTCTAGCTACAGCCTCGAGCTCTTCCTCGTCGCTGACCTGATCATTGTTGACGCGCTCCTCCTCCTCCGAGCTCTCCGACAGAGCCTCTTCCGACGACGATTTGGATCTCGATTGCCTCGCCATATGCTCCTCTCCCTTCCGATCGAGGGTTAGAAATCGACACAATACTGTTCGTTCTTTGAGGGATTCGATGGCTACTTAGGTCTAAATGTGGGGGGTGTTTTGTGGGTTTCGGGTTTAACCGGTTCCGATTCAGTCGCTTCCCGCCTTTTCGGTGAAACAGGTAATTGGATTCCCGCCACTGGGCCTGGTTTTTTTTGTCTTCGAGTTTGTAGTACAATGGGCCTCGCGAACAGCTCTAGTGGGCTTTTTCTTATTACAACTATTGCCCTCCAATTTCAACTCTTTTTTGTTTTTTTGCTTTTCAGTTAAGGACTTGAGGCATTCATGGACATCTTCCGGATAGTTGTACAATATTTTCGATTAGTGATAAAGTTTTGGATAATATTTTAATGATGTATTCTTATTTTGAAAATGTTAATGCTGAAAACTATTGTTAAACATCTTTTTCAAAACGTTAGAGGAGAACATGAAATGCATCAAAGTCCGAAAATTGAGTTGATTTAAAGTTGGGAAGAAAACAGATGGTTTTATCAAGGATGAATTAAAGTTTCTTTATTTAGGTATCTTAAAAAAGGTAAAATAATAACAATTCTAATTTTATTACTTTACCTATGTTGCCCGCTCATTATTTCAAATGTCATACAAACCAAAATAAATTTACGTTATTGACTTCAAGCTGACTCGGTTGGGTTGGAGACTTAAGTATCACAATGTAAAAGAAAATCTTAAATTAATGGAGAGTATTAAATTGTCAATCAATTCTATGGGTGACTTTGACCTGAAGCATACACTACTAACCCAAGAGTTTTGAAATAACTGAATCCAAGTCGAGAAAAAATGATTTGAACTAGAATCAAGACAATGAAACCCAAACCCGAACTAAAAGAAGCTGGACTTAAATCATACTCCAATAGAACTGAAAAGATCTGGCCTGATTGAGTGAAAAAAAAACTTAATATAAAAAAGAGTATATATGGAACTATGAGTAAAGACTTACAGAAAAGTAGAGAGTACTTATTAGTTTAATGTGTAAATACAATTAAAGTCAATAAAATTAATATTGTATACAAAATCAGATCTAAACAACAAAGTGATGGGTTGTTTTTTTAAAACTAAAGTCATATTTCTTGAACATCTTAATATTGGAGCACATTTGATAAATCTTTACTAACTTGACAAAAATATTGATTTTTTTTGTATTGAATAGCGTAGGGAGTCCAACCCCAAACCAACTACAACATACTCGATCAAAGTATCAAACTTTAAAATGTTCGAATGCGACCCACCAAATTAAATCAAAATCCAAATAAGCCCGACCAAGTTTGAAATACCGAGGCTTTGTTTGGCACAAAAAATTCAAATTATGGAATTACAAATGAAAACAACAATTCCAATTTTGCTATTTAGTTGCAAAAAAATATGAGTATTTAGAATTGGTCGTGCTAAAAGTAAATTGGAATTGGAGAATTCAAATCCATCCTACTCAATTTCATAAAATTTGAATTTCTAATTCAATTTCAATTCCGTAAATTCCATGTACCCCAACTGATCAGGAGAATATTGTTATGAAATTTCTATCTTTTTTTTAAATGTAAAATTGAATTCTTTCGATCCCTATCCGAACCGAGACCTAAAGTGTACGCAAAAAACTCGGTATTTATTTTTTTTGGTCTACACGCAACCAGGTTAGCAATGCCCCGACGCGATCAATAATTTGCTACCCCAAACAGAACCAGGCCGCCGCCGCCGCAAAAGATCCAAGAACCGAGGGCAGTTCCGGCAATGAACCCACTGTCCCAAACTGACAGGGACAAATTCTTTTATTCTGTGGCTCTACAAAAATCTCAAAGGCCAGGCCATAGCCGACCCACCCCCACCATTCTTCGCTAATCGTCGGCGGCGATCACCACCGTCGACCGTGTAACTCACCGTCGGCGTACGGATATCTCGCAAGTATCACTCTCCGGCCTCTACCTGGTTGCCGAATTTCCGCGATAGGTCTTTTTCTCCCGTTTGAATTGAACTCCTCTACTCTTAACTTTTTTTTTATTTGCTTCCGAAGAGATGATTTTTGTTTTTCCAGCTTAGAATACTTGTGAATTTGTTTTCTTTGATTTTTCAATGTATACAGAGGCATGGAGAGAAAAACATGGTTAAAGGTGGTAATTTTAATATGCTTAGTTGCCTTCTCAACTGGCAGAGGTAATAATATTGACATTTCGCTTTATGAGCGCTTCCCACTTTGTTGATTTCATGTGATCATTATAATTATTTTAATTCTTAAAGAGTTTGAATGTCAACTGTAGTGCCATATGATCTTTCAATTTTTCGCATTAACATCCAAAAATCATACAGTTTCACAGTAAGTAATTTTTTACATATGAAAAAGTTGTGATTATCAATCCAACCTTTGCATAGCCTTTATATAGAAAATGCGAGCATCAAATGCCTCACGTTTGCCAAAATGAATTTGAAGCATTGTTATTGAAGAGAATTTAGAACAATATTTCTGGTAAGGGAAAGTGATCATAGACCCTAAGTGTTTTTACTTCGATTTGCAATCTAGATTTGGCAAGAAAGTCCCAAAGCAGTTCAATTTTTTCTACTCCTTGAGTATCCTTTGTTTTATGTGGTTGTACTTGTTTCAGGCTGTACGAGTATTGTTATTGGAAGTAAATTTTTAAGTTGTTAATGCTTACCTTTTTTCCAGAGCTCAAAGTTGAGTTGCAGTACAAAAAGCAATCGCCAGTTTACAATCACACACTAGCCACTATAATGGTTCAATATGCTTCGGCAGTAAGTTCCAACTCTATTATTCCATTAAAAAATGAAAAAAAATGCTGGTTTACAATTTATCCATGTCAATATATGATGGTGGGAATCAATATCATGATTATAATGGAGTAATTTATAAACCTTTCATCTTGTAGGTGTATATGTCAGATCTGAATGAACTATTTACTTGGACATGTTCAAGATGTGATGGTTTAACCAAGGTGTTGTACTTTGAATTTCATCAAACTTTCAGCTTATCAGTGCATCATTTTTTAGTTAATTAGGTGTATCATGTATGCCTGTTTTCTTGCAAACAGGGGTTTCAGATGATTGAGCTGATCGTTGATGTCCAGCACTGTCTGCAGGTATGTGCAACATAACATAATAACAATTCTCTCTCGAAAAAAAATGAAGGGCAAAAAACTAGAAAGTTGATTGGAAATTCATACTTTAAGCTCCTAGCTTGAATCTTACTGCAAATATCTTGTGCAGGCATTTGTCGGGGTGGCTCAAGACCTTAATGCCATTGTTGTTGCATTCAGAGGAACTCAAGAAAACAGGTTTCAGTAATGCTGTATATACTAGTGCCAGGGATGGATCTAGAAATTGACTATAGGGTGAACAAGAAAATGAGTTTAGTTTGTGAGGCCTGAGTTCAGATAGGAAAAAAAGAATTACAAGTCTGCAAATAGGCTAAACCGCTAGACTTTGAGCTACTGATTCAAAAATGCAATAGGGGGCAACCTTTTGCACTATATAAGGACCTCAAAACTAGCAGGCCTGGTTAAAAGCTTGGAACCCAGCCCAAGCCAAAGCTAGATCTTCCCTTGCCAGTGTCCTTCAAGGCTTCAACTGCCATTATGTATTTTATTCACAGGGTCATGATCTTGTATTTATTATTTCAGCATACAGAATTGGATTGAAGACCTATACTGGAAGCAACTGGACATAAATTATCCAGGGATGGATGATGCAATGGTGACTGCTATACCAAGCTTTCTTTCATAAAAGACTAGGGATTAATCATGTTAAAAATTTTTGACACTTAGGCTCTGTTATGTCGGGCTCTAACTCTTAAGTTCCAACACTTTCCAACTCCTTCCTGTTTATTTTAAATACTTCCAGTTTTCAGATTTCTTTTAGTTTCTTCCAACATCTAAGTATCTAACCCTCTTATTCCAACCTAAAAGAATAGAGCCTTAATTGACACTATATTTCATGCTATCTACCACAACGTAGCTGGAACAGAGGTGGTGATGATGATGAATGGACAATGATGAAAAAACCATCTGAAACATATGCGATAGGCATGTTTATGTAGCAATCTTATGAGTGTGTGTGTGTGTGTGTGCTCATGTTATACAACGTATTGATCTATCAGGTGCACCGTGGATTCTATACTGCTTATCACAATACAAGTCTCCGTGCTGGCGTGCTAAATGCTGTTAAAGAGGCAAAAGAGTTAAATGGTGATTATCAGATTATGGTGACTGGGCATTCAATGGGAGGAGCTATGGCTACCTTTTGTGGACTAGATCTTACTGTAAATACTATGACCTTGGGACATTAGAAAATTGTTTGTTATATTTTCATCATTTACCATCTATGGCTCTCCATGCTACATACCATATGTATATGATTGGTTGTTTATGAATTATTACTCGTTTTGTTTTTGCATAAAATATTTCAGGTCAATTATGGTGCTGAAAGTGTTCAAGTAATGACTTTTGGGCAACCTAGGATAGGCAATGCAGCTTTTGCATCATACTATAGCCAGCTTGTGCCAAACACTATTCGTGTGACACATGGTCATGATATTGTGCCTCATTTGCCCCCATACTATCAATACTTTCCTAAAAAGACATACCATCATTTCCCAAGAGAGGTAACATGCTCGCTCACCTGAACTGATGTTCCATTCTTGATGAAACCCCCAACAGAAATGCTGGTTAGCTATGAAGTATGAACATAAAGAAAATATTGTAGATATATTTCATATTATTTTACATGGAAAAATCTATTTTTTTTCCGCATCCATACGGGAAAAAATAATTTCCACAACCACTTTTGAGCAAACTTTATCCAAACAAAAACTGATTGTGATTATAATTTACTATACATGTACTAATGACTATTGAAATAATATAATATTTTCAGCTATCCCCAACACAGTTCATGTTTTTGGCATTGCAGGTCTGGTTGTATTACACCGGCCTTGAAAGTCTAGTTTATCCCGTAGAGAAAGTTTGTGATGCGTCGGGTGAAGACCCAACTTGCAGCAGGTACGAGCTCTCTTATCCTCGCTATAGTTTTACTTATGAGCACTTAAAACGGATATGCTACATTGTAAATGGGCTAAAACTTATTTCCAGCAAGTATTGGATATACTAAAGAGAAACTTTGCAAAGTATTAGAAAATGGGTATTGAGTTGTCTTCTAAGTTCTATCTAGTGTCTAGACGCTCTCTATGTAAACTGGCCAAAATTGGCACTTCTCTCTGTCTCTAAAAAAAGGCGTTTACATGAAAATCTTTTTTTTAAACCCAAATAAACACACATCTATCAAACAAAAGTGTCAAGAAAGTCCAGGAGAGTACAGAACCACTCCCTAGCGTTCTCCTTGGACTGAGTAAGGCCATGTTCTCTTCAACTTAATCTTATTACTTATTACTTATTCTTTTTGGAATCAGATCAGAAACATCTTTAAATATAAGTACAATCAAATCAGTCCAATTCAGAACTTATTCCAATCAAATCTGAACCAATCACATTAGGTGAAGAGAACATGGCTGAACTCTCGTGTGCCATTACTGATCACCCTGCTCCATTTCTCATATGCCATTCATGGGGCAATCCTCTACGCATTCCTTTATGTGCATGGAGAGATTTCATTTGTTCTCTAAAGAGAATTCTATATTTATCTTTGAAAAAAAACCTCTGTAGGTCAGTCCTAAGATGACCTCCTGGGATGATACTCCAACTTTTAATAACTAGTGATGACATATAACTATTTGTGTTTGAAAAAAACCCTTCTCAGGTCAGTGTCAGGGAACAGCATTTTAGATCATATGACATACTACGGCATTCAGATGGGATGCGAGGAACCTGCTCCGTGCAAAATCATCATCATGGATTCCTCTGTTTCTTCTTACTCGACGAAAGATCTTAATGGAAATATTGTTTTATATAGAGGTACTTCTGCATCTAGTTTAAGTATGAAAACAGAATCCAATAAACAGAGTGCATCTTTGTGAAGTTTTTCATTAGGTGAGCTTTTGGGTTTTGAAAATAGCCTGTGCCCTAGCCCCTATGTATATATGTACCGTTTTTTTCATTTTCACAATGTAAATAGTTATTTTTACCGTTCTTATTAGCTTAAACTGTAAACTATAATAAAATCTTCTGATTTTTTTAAACATTTAAATTGCAAATGGGAAAAGAAGAAAAAGAAGGAAGACGTGCACTCTTACACAATGTCACCATGTAACCTCTGTTGCGTTTCTATAACACTCTAGGCTCTCTAGAGTGTTTTTTATAATGTTTGTGCACACATATTAGGTAACAATTAAAAACTTAAAGTCTTAGAAGAAATAAAAGAAGAAATATGTTGCTCTTTTTGTCTTAAGTGACTTGTAGAATAATCTTTTTTATTTTAAATAAACAATTAAAAAATCAAAAAGAAAAGAGGTGGGATAATCCTCCTAGTTGGGATGGTCCCAACTTTTCAAAACTCATCCAATATGGTGAGGTTTAGATTGGCTTGTGAAGTGATTGCTTCATCGAAAAGAGATGAAGAATTGGGCCCAGCACTAGAGATGCTCTAAGTGCATGTTAGGCATTAGGCCCAAAAATAGAGAGATTGCAAAAAAAATTGCCCATTACAAAGCATTGTGACTATTTAAAAATATTTGAGTGGTATTTTTGAACATTTTATAGGGTTCAATGACATAATTAAAAGAGAAAAATAGAGTGGTATTTTTTACAATACATAAAATTTGAGTAGCACTTTTTGATATTTTAATGACTTCAATGACATTATTGAAAGAAAACAAAAGGCAGTGACATGGTTTGACAAAAATGAGTAGTTTAGTGGTATTCTTGTTACAACACTCTCTGTTTTGATCATATTTTGGTAAATTTCCGAGGACGGATGACAATTTTTCATGATGTCTTGGCAGTCATGAATAGCAAAAATATGAACAGATTGAAAACTTTGCTTGATAGGATATAAATCCATATAATACATCTTTCTCACACTTGACTGTCTTTGATCAATCATAACTTGAATGTGTCTATATATTTATACACACACTTAGAGAGATATCCAAGAAAGAAAAAAATGCAACAAGTCTTCAAAGGGCTTCCACCTCAGCTTTTTTCTCCTGATGATCCATAAGAATGGCATATGAGAGGAGTTCACTGTCTAGTGTGGAAAAAAAGATAGGATTTTAAGAATAAGCAAATAATTACTTTATTTTTTCTCTATACCTTCTCTTCTAGACTTGGAGCTTTCTCTTCTCGTTCTGGTTTGGCTTCAGCCTTTGCCTCATCAGTAGGAGCTGACACATCATTCTCTTCTGTAATATTTACCTTTTCTTCCTTCAGCTCAATGCCCTCTTCTGTCAATCAAAAGCATAAAATTTACTGCATGAAGTCTAACACTATGTTTTGGTTCAAGGAATTTGAAAGAAAAAAGAGATGGAAAATAAGTTTTCTTGTTTGGTAAGAGAGGAAAAGAAAAGAAAAGTAGAAGAAAAAAAAGAAAGAAAAATCTATTAAGAGAGGGGAAAATCAAATTCCTCCCATTTTGGCGAGGAAAATGAGAGAAAATCATTTTCTTTTCTTTTTCTACTATATTTCTGGAACCAAACGTATAGAAAGTGTTAAGTTCATTTTGAAAAAGGAGTATATTTTTAAGTTGTGTGATTTTTTGGCACTTTTCCCCTCCTCTCCCCTTCAATTGTTGCGGGGAGAGGATGGAAGGAAAGATCAAAACAATATTTTGAAGGGGCTCCAAACAATCACACCCTAAAGGTGGAAACAAAATTTTCAGTCATGGAAAACCATTATGCATTGAGAACCTATAAATACCAAACCTTTTTGTGCATCTGTTTTGTCTTCATCATCAACAGATCCTTTCTCCATCTCTTCATTGACAGAAACACATTCTATTTCTTCCTTCTGCTGCTCTTCAATGGCCATTTTTGCTTCCTCTTCCAGAATCTCATCATTGACAGATACAGATTCTGTTTCTTTCCACTGCTGCTCTGCAATGGCCATTTTAGCATCCTCTTTCACATCTTCCATAGCCACCACAGTGCTTTCCTTAAGCTCTTCATTGACAGTCACAGATTCTGTTTCTTCCTCAGGCTCCTCCAAAATTGCCTTTTCAGTTTTCTCCTCTCCCAAATCCACTCCACTTTCCTTAACTTCCCCGGCTTTGTTTGCCTCTTTCTCAATCCCACCACTAATGGACACAGGTTCTGTTTCTTGGCATTCTTCCTTCTCGACAACGGCCATAACAGAATCAAGATTCTGGCTTTCTTTAACCTCCTCGGCTGCGTTTACCTCTTTCTCAATCCCACCACTAATGGACACAGGTTCTTGACTTTCTTCCTTCTCAACAACAGCTTTTTCGGTTTTCACTTCTTCTTTAACACCTTCCCCTGCCACCATAACAGAATCAAGATTCTGGCTTTCCTTAACCTCACCATTAATGGACAAAGATTCTGTTTCTTGACTTTCTTCCTTCTCAACAACAGCTTTTTTGGGGTTCTCTTCTTCTTTAACACCTTCCCCTGCCACCTTAACAGAATCAAGATTCTGGCTTTCCTTAACCTCACCATTAATGGACACAGATTCTGTCTCTTGGCATTCTTTCTTCTCCACAACAGCTTTTTCGGGTTTCTCTTCTTCTTTAACACCTTCCCCTGCCACCATAACAGAATCAAGATTCTGGGTTTCCTTAACCTCGCCATGAATGGGCACAGGTTCTGTTTCTTGACTTTCTTCCTTCTCGACAACGACCACAGCAGAATCAAGATTCTTGCTTCCCTTAACCTCCTTGGCGGCGTTGACCCGTCTCTCCATCTCAACCAAAACAGGAGGAGAATCCTTCTCTTTTTCGGCTTCCACGACAACCTTAACAGCCTCATCAGGGCTGCTGCTTTCCTTAACCTTCACAACAGCATCAGTTCCAGGATTTGCAACTGCTGCAGCCTCAGGCGTGTTCTCCGGGACACAATTTGCAGCAAAATCTTGTTCGGGCAGCTGCAGGGATGGGGGAACGGTGGTGGGGTTCTTGTGATGGACGGCGGTTTCCGGCGCCTTCTCCCTCCTGGAGGTGGATCTGGAAGAAGAGGATGAACTCTTGGTTCTGGCAATGGTGTTCTCTGTTGAAACTGCATGCTTGGATTCTCCACAACCCATGATTATGATGCACCAGGTTAATTAACTATATCTCCCTCTCTCTTTTTTGTTGTTGAAAATGGATTGTTTCTCTCTTATCTCTCTCCTCTGATCTCTGTGAACCTTGTTGTTGAGAGAGAGAGATGAGAGAAGGAGAAAGAAATTTGAGAAAGAGGATTGTTGTCTCTCTGGCTTCTCTGTCTGTCTGTTTGGTTTCTGGCTGTATTTTTATTATTATTTGTTCTTAGTTAATGTGTGGCTAAGGAACAGTTTTTTCGGTTACTAGGTATGTTCTGTAAAGGCGTAGATTTTGCCATTTGTCGTATTGTTGTTGTTAGATGAGCCTTTAATTGCTGCTACTACACTTAATATGACCTGCCTGTTTTTTTGCAATTATTATTCAATCTCATCTACATCCATCCTTATATTGGCTTGTACTCCCTCCGTCCCGTTTTAAATCGTCTGTTTTGACTTTTGGGCATATTTAAGAAAAATTAAAAATAGAGTTGATTTTCCAAAATTGTCAATACTTTTTAGAAGGGACGATGATGAATGATAATATAATGTGGAGAAAATTGACTTATTTTAGAGATAGTTTAGGTATTTTATTTTTAAAAGTTTACGAAAACAACTAACATGCAACTTATTTTGGGACGGAGAAAAAAGGCAAACAAGCAATTTAAAATGGGACGGAGGTAGTATTATTCAATGTCACACTAATCTTAAGCCTTTAAGGCCTGCCCCGAAAATACGTAGTAAACTTGGAACTCTTTTGTGGGAAGAAAAGAATGATATAAAAAATAAATTCTCTTTTTTTTAGAGAAGAAAAGAAATGTGTAAAAAAAGAGAGGAAAAGAATAGAAAAATAGAAAGAAAAGAAAATGAGATAAAATAAATAAATTTAGGAGAGGAAATATACAATCGTTTCTATTTTGGTGAGAACTGGAGAGACTTTTTTGTTTTTATTTTGTTCTTAATTCTTTGAACCTTTCATTTTCTTCCTAATTCTTTGAACCAAATATAGTGCTATGTTTTTGCTTAGTCTATATAAACTGCGTATAAGAAGTCATCACATACCAAATAATCAGCCCTTCATACTAATTGGTTAGCTTCTGATTGATTTTGTTGGTTGAATCATTACCTAGCATCAGCTTCTCGGTTGCCTCACATTCTCATTAGTTTCGAGCGCTCACATTACCGATGTAAATGAGATATCCTTGATGTGACCAAAGAGCTCGTACTTGTTCTTAAAAAAAGAGCTCGTACTTGGGGGCTAGAAGTTCAGTGTATAAAAATCTTCTGTGTGGCTTCTTTGGTGATTAGAATTTAATACTTTAAACTTTGGAAATGTAAACTTTTTGTACTAATCGACCCACCGTACAACGATCCAACCACAAGAAACCCTAAACTTTGAGTGGGGACCTACATCTACTTGTTTGATCATACCCAACTTGGGTTGAAAATTTTTTAGAATCTCCATACTAATGATATTTACGAATTTAGGTCATCAACTTTAATTCATTCTACAATCAAACATCATCAAATTATACAAATATATGAAATTTATATATTGTATTACGGCAAGGTTCTGTTGACACTGTCAATTGATGACACTCACCTATTTCGAGTACCTCTAGTGCTCCAAATGAGAAATTGATGGTTTCTACCTCCCCTAATCCACCCCCTAAACCCCCACTCCAATCCCACTCCCCCCCCTTCCCTCATTGACAAGGTACAACCGAAAAAGACCCATGATTTTCTCCCAATTTGGATTTTCACGTAAAAATAACTTGTTCATATTTTTGTGATTTGTTAGACTCGCTTATCATTTTTACACGATAAAAATGATTATCAATTTTACACGATAAAAATGATAAAGTCAATCGGAACAATTAACATCATCATTTGGCGACATCCGTGGGACACAAACCCACGACCAGATGGCTACAAAAAAGACATGTTTTCTCTCAATTTGTGTTTCCACATAAAAAAAATAGCTTGTTCGTGTTTTTGGTAATTCGTTTCGCGCTTATCATTTTCACCCACAAGGTAAAAATGATAAAGCTAATCAAAATAATTAACACCATCAAACTGGATTAGTACTTTGGAACAACCGTCATCCCCATACCACACTAGCACGTTATATATTTTCAACAACAATCTTATATACATTCTCCCTTGCCCCAGAATTATATTTTTTCTTGGTCAAAGATTTCTAACTTTGAACATAAAATATGAAGAAAAAAATATGAAATTATAATATAAATTTAATATGAATAGATTCATTTTGAAATAAAATTTAAAAATATCATATTTTTATAATATAAAATTATACTCCGTATATAAATAGAGATATTAATTATTAGAATAGTACGTTGGAAACCATGAAAAAGCATACAGAAAGATAATTCTGAGACACAGGAGTAATTTACTTCACTTAAAACTCCAGAAAAACAAATAAATTCACAGTTGTCTTATATTAAGTAATTTTCACAATGGCTTAATTCATTCAAAATCAGAAATGGGTTTTATCCGTTTTTTGGTTCACTCCCAAAACGTAAGCTCTCAAAATGTAAACGACCTTACTATAGAAATAGGTGTCTTGGAATATATATTGCAACAAAAAAATTAAATATTATCATAATTATTGCATTACAGACAATGCAACTCCCTTATTCTGATGAACATGTGCCTAGAAAGCAATCATAAGATAATTAATTGTGTACAAAAACAGCATCAGGTAACTAATTACACACAAAAATGGAAAAAAAATTGTGAAAAAGAAAAAGGGGAAAACAGCAAAAACACATACAGATTGATTTTCCAGTTAAGGATCATGATGATCTGCACACAAATCCAGCTCTTGATCTGTCTGTTTCCTCAAATCTCAGCTCCAAGCCTAGTCAACACAGCATCAGCCGAAAAGATGTCTCCAAAACGCCCTTTCGCAAAATTAATCGGCCATTTCCCACAGATGTTCACGTCGCAATGCAGTACTAAGATTTACTGGTTAGCATATGCCAGAGAAGACCACAGGCTACTACAAAGAATTTACCAATGAATAACCCAACAGTAGTCTTCATAACAGGTCAGCCTCCTCCTGGTCTCCATCGTGATCATCCCCCTCGTTTTCCTCGTCTTCCTCGGGCGCATCGGGATCCACTCCCTGCATGGTTCAAATGGCATATGATAGTGTATTTCTTGAAGGGTGTTGCCAAATCCACCCCTATTTCGGCTAAATCCACGCCATTTGTTACATATGTACAAATTTACCCTTAAAAGTGTAAAAAAAAGAAAGATGACATGTGATATTAGCTCAAGGATAGACTTGTCCAATTCTCATAAATGGGGTGGATTTAGCAACACCCTTTCTTAAAGCACAAGAAGATGAACATTTTGAGTAGTAGGTAATAGAACCTTCATTTGTTTCTCCAATCGTTCTAATCCTTTTTTAGCTGCTTCATTTTGGGGATTAATCCTGCGCATGGAAGGAAATAAACACTGATTTCGCAATACAGAAGCTGGCTAGGACTTTGACAATACCGCAATCTTCCATATTCCAAAATCATACTAAGAAGTACTTGACTCGTCAGTTTGGAACCCCAAAAATTGCAAGGAACAAATAGGGGAAAATGAAACAAAAAATTTGGAAAAGGAAGTTTTGGAGGAAATGACAAATTGATTCAAAGCTGACTAAAACAAAGCACATTTGATTTTACTTGTAGTGTTCAGTTTTCTTTGTCTTTATATGATAAATAAATTTGATAAATAAATAAATTTGATTTTCCTTTGTAAAATTTTAAAAATATAAGCACATTTGATTTTCATTTGTACTTTCCATGGTAAAACCAAACACTGAAACTATTTCCTTCAATCTTTTTTTCTAAATTCTTCACCATTTTTCAGGTAATAAACATAGCCGAAACTAGGAGAAATAAATATTAGTGCACCTCAGTGCCGCTTGATAATGTGAAAGAGCATCTTGCAGCATATTTGTGGCAGAAAACACCTGGGCAAGCTTAACATGCAAAGAGTCATGAGCCCAGTCATTCAGATACTGCTCAAGGTGAGAGATAGCATCTTCATTTCGACCTTCAATGAAATGTAGCTCAGCCAAAGCTAGTGCAGCACCAAGGTAACCAGGTTCCAGTCTGAGTGATGATTCGTAAAACTTCTTTGCCTGTTAGAGAGAGAGAGAGAGAGATTTTACGCTATAATGAGAACTTGGCCGTTATCCACTTGCCAAATGGATTTCAGTAGAGGTCAAAACAAGAAATGCTAGAGTCATAAAAAAACGTCACAAAATTCACAAACTTGCCATTTGTGAACCCCACATTGGCTGTTATCCACTTGCCATTTCTCTTTAAAACCACACATTAGGGAGGGACTGTTTACAAGACTTAAGGAAGAAATTACCTTCTCCCTGCCAGTGGTATTACTGGCATGCACATCTCCAACCAATTTCAAAACCTTTGCAGACTGAGGCATGATCTTCATTGCTTCCCTTGCAGCATGCAATGCTTCTTTGGTCTTTGAAAGTTTCAAATAGGATCCAACCAATCCTGCAATGGTTTCTAAATGATGAGATGAATCTCCTAAGAATTGCTCACAAGTCAATGGAGAATAAAAACCATTTCTAGGCATCATCTCTTGGAATTTATCAAAGCAATCATATTGAAAGAACTATACTTCCTGTTTTAGCCCGCTACAACCGACCTTGATATGAACGAAGATCAGGCCGCAATTCTTGTGCTCCTCTGAAGGCAACCACAGCAGCTTCAGGATGATTCGTTGACAAGAACAAATTCCCCTACTTGTATACATGAAATATAGGAAACATAAAATCAAGAGATGGAAAACACAAGGGAGCAGACCTGGATTGAACCTCCAATAATTAGAGATAGCAAAGAAGATACCTTCATTATATATCCTGGAATATGCCTCTCATCAACGTGGATGCTCTAGTGAAACAAACATAATGGTATTAGGAGTTATATTCCAGGATTGTCAAGTAAACAACACTAATTTTGCAGAATTAACAATTAAGAAGCTTTACCTTCTCTGCATAGGATAAAGCCTTCTTCTCATCTTTTCGTTCCCACAAGACGGACAAGGCCACAAAAACCTCAGCTCTGGTTGGATCGATATTGAGTAGATCATGCACTAACTTGTTCAGCTTTGAAAATTCAGACTTCACTTTCAAAAGCATAGCATACTCATCCATATGAGTCATCACATACGGATCAATGGATCGAGCCTGCAAGAATAACAATAATAATAACAACATAAACAACAACAGCAACAACAACAATAATAATAAGGGTGATGCCAAAAGCCCACACCCTAATGGGCTAAATCCACTCTGTTTTTAAGAAATGGACACCCTTTCACTTCTTTCTTTCACCATATCAAGCAGTAAGGGTAAACTTGGGTATTTAAGTATTTTACACAAAAAGGAGTGTATACAACCAAATGTGGGGTGGACTTAGCAATAACCAAATAATAATAAAAGTAACAATAAAAATAACAATAATAATAATTGTAGTAGTAGTAGTAGTAAAACTATATTAAAAAGTACAGAGCACCTCGCTTACCTTCTCAAAATGCGTTATAGCTTCATCATATTTACCAATAATTGCCTCGACCTAGGAAGGAAATTACACATATATAAGAAAAAAAATTGCAGTATTGCTCTTGATATTTTGTAATTGAGAACAATGGTAATGTACTAATATATATTGCAAAAAAGCACTCAAAGCTATTGAACATGTGTCTCAGTGTATATCATGGTTGAAAAGGTTCTTATGATCAAATTCCTAACCTTAGCCATTTCTAGCAATAAGTGTACATTGTTGGGAAATCGCTGTAACAGATCTTCCAATAGCTCCAAACCCGCTGCATACAATGTGCAAATGTAAGAAGCCATAACAAAAGAAATTTTACATTTCCCGAGAAATCCATACTGAAGCAACACACTGTGACACATCACACATTGAATCAAATATGGAGGAGGAAATTGTCAATGAAAGGTAATGGACCTTTGTAATCATTGGAAGCAATTGAGCATTGAGCTTCCACATAACGCTGCAAATGAGCCAATGAAATGATATAACTATTAAACTGAAGAAAGTTTTGTACCAAAAGAAACAAAGATAATGAAATCTAAAATAATAGGAACCGACATAAGCACACACAGACAACGTTTGTGAATAAATCTAAAAATAAACGCAACATTGGAAGCATAAATTCCAACCCAGTTCAAGGGCTTGCGGCCAGTTGCGGGTGGTGCAAAATCGATGGTTTGATCATGTCCACAGAAGAGATTCTATAGCACTAGAAAAGGGTGTGGAGATATTTTTGGATGAGCGAAAAGGAAGAGAGGTAGACAATGGAGGACATGGGATGAACATCTAATACTGGAAATGACAGCCTTAAACCTCTTTGGGGTATATGACCTCTGTTAGGAGTGCCTTAAGAAGTCAAATTACGGTTGTAGATTCCTTGTAAGAGTTGTTTGCATGTGGTTTTGCGGTCTGCAATTCTGCATGTAGATTGTTTGTTTCATTGCTCCCTTGCATACACTGTTTGGCGTTGCACTATGCACACTGCTTTTCACTAGCTTGTTCTTTGATTTCTGTGTTTCATTGCTCCCTTGCACGTTTTGTGTGTGTTGCACTATGCACACTACTTTTCACAATTTGTTGGGGGCCCTAGGATCCTCTACGATACAATCTCTACTCCTACGGGTAGAGCTAGGGTCTATGTGGGATACACACACACACACACACACACACACATATATACACACATACATACATACATACATACATACATACATACATATATATATAAGGAAGTCATTTATACAATTATACTTACCAGCAACCAGCGATTTGAATCAAAATGATCCAAAGGAGGCCTGCAACTTCTATTTGATGCCTGAAATAGTGAGGAAACATGAAGTCATTATGACATCTTGGATTAATTAAAAGCTGGACAGTTTTATTTCTTAGTAGGGCAGATAAAGTTCATAAGCAATATCTGATTACCAATGGAACTTCAAAATAGTACACTTGAGGTACACATGTACCAAAAGAGTAACTTATCCATTGGTAAGATCAACCCAAGTGTTTTAGGAACCTTAGAATAAATAGCCATTGCTGGCTGGGTCTACAAACCCCAGTTTTAGGAGCTTCAAAATAGTACACTCGCAGTACACATGTACGAGAAGTAAGATTTATAAACATGGAAAACATGGTTAAGGATGTAAGGCACACTCAATAAGTAGTAAACATATATTTAAAAAAATAATACATGGGTGAATACTTCAAGTAAACTGGCAAACAACTATTGCAACTATGGTTGAAGACTTGAAGTCGAACTTCCACTTATAAAAAGTCAAGCTTTTGTACTTGTACTTTTACATACATTATTGTCTAAAAATAGAACACATACACATCGGAGTTATTTCAGTAAGCATAACCTGAGGAAACAGTGAAATAATATCCTTTGCCGCAACACCTAATTCTGCCAATGCTGTGATAGCCTCCATTATATAAGGACAGTGCCTATCAATGAATGATTGCCCACATTATTAAAATGATGGTTGTAGTTTGAGCAACACGGACTATCATCACCCTTACAATAAAAGAATGCAATAAACCTTGACAGACTATCAACTACAACCGTAAGTAGTTTCCTAGTAGCATTTAACACAGTAGCAAAATATGAAAATGGTGAAAGACATTGAAAATAAAACTTCTGCACCCTAAAAGGTTTGAGAGGAAATGATAAATGAACAAATTACCATAAACAACCTTAAACACTCTTTATAGCAAGTAATAGATGCACGAGTATGTCTAGAAGTTCGATAAAGTTTTCCCATCATCATATTCATCTGCAAGTTTCTTGCTTTGCTTGGGATTCCCTCCATCTGTAGAATAAGGTCGGCAAACCACCACAAATGAGGAGGCAATAACAAACTAACAATTTCAGCAAACTTTATCCAACAGAATCTGTTGACTAAATAATGATGATCACCTTGATCCTAAGACAGACTCTCAAGTCTAAATCAAGAGTCATAAACAGAGCATCATTTATTCAGACAACAAATGTCCATGAAAAAAAATCCATTAGAAAAACGTAACTAGATTACATGTTGGTCTATACTCACACCTCAAGAAGTGCTGCTCTATTCTCGTTCAATGCAGAATGGGATGATGCAATTTTGAACTTCACCTGCAATGAATCATATTTAAATATCCAGCATAAATAAAGACCAACAACCACAAATATGAACAAGACCCAAATAAAGAACCATAGGTGTTATTAAAGCTCAAGGTACCTCGTTCTCAATTGTGGTTGAAAAGCTTGGGGAACCATATTTGTTGGGTGCAGGCACTGAGCTTCTTGTTGTCACCGTGCTTTGCTTAGGGATCATTTTGTGAAGTTGCAATACTTGCTTATACGCATGCTGCCAAAAAGTAGTAAAAAGAGTTTACCTTTTCCATTTAGAGAGAAAAAAAATCATGCTACCAGCTTGAATTTTGCAGCACGAATCAAATGCATTTTCTCACAATAGCTCTCCTGTACTCCTTTTCTCGAAACAATGCGTCCCCCAGTAGCATCTGAAAATCAAATTCCATTGTTAACTCGACAGAACTTCAAAACAAGCATCAATGAGTAAGCCCGCAATGCACACAATTCGAATCTCGCAAACAAAAACCACAAACCAAGTTCTCAGCTTTGGCCTGCAGGCTGGTTTCTGAGCTCGACGAAACAAGAAAACATCCCTATTTAAATTGACAAAAACAGAAACGAACACGAAATCTTATCAGAAAATACTGGTTCAAGAACTGGGCTTCAATTTAAAAAAAGGAGAAAAAACCCTAGTGGGGTTTCAGATAAAATGGTGGGAGCATACGAGCATCTGGAGGGAGGAAGAGAGGTTGTTTTCAAGAAGAATGGCCACATGGTCCTTGGGCACTTCCATGGACGATTGAGAATCGGCGTGGGGGAGGGGACTGTGAACGGCGGAGGTTGAGGTTGGCGACGGCGGTGGAAAAGAAGGGTGAGATTGGAAGTGGGAGAGAGCGCGAGGGAGAGCCAAATCCAGACCCGCCCTTCGTTTTGAATCCTCTTTCTGCTTCAGAGGCATCTCAAAGTGCTGTCTGTCTGTTTGGTTCAGCCAATAACACTCCGATCCAATGGACTTAGTGAAGTTCACTCACAAAAGCTTGTGTTTTCTTTATCCGAAACCCGGAACACGTCCGTGAACTTCATCACATCCCCACATAGTGAATTTAGGGACTGCTTGTCAATTTCTGAATAGGTAAGTGCTGAACCAGTAAGAGGTCTGAACCATTAAGTGCTAAACCAGTAAGAGGTCTGAACCATTAAGAGCTAGTATATTGCTTAACTATTCAAAGGCAAATGTCTGATCAATTCAGATAAGAGGTCTTAACCATTCAGACTCTGTATAATACTTAACCATTCAGAGGCAAATCTCTTAACCATTCAGACATCTGAACCATTAAGAGGCTGAAACAAACAATCTGAACCATTAAGTGTTGAACCATTCAGACATCTGAACCATTAAGAGGCTGAAACAAACAGCCCCTTAGTGGCTTATCTTTCTTTCCATAGTTCTTGGCACATCTTCTATAGGACTGGAAAAATGAGAATACTAGGAAGAAATTGAAAAAAACTGGAATGAATAGGAATGAACTGGAAGAAACTATAAGAAATTGAAAGGAATGGTAAGAAACTGGAAGTTAATAGTTCAAGCCCTAAAGCTCTTAATTGTCATTGCCCTTGTTTGAGAACAACGTTTTCATTTAGCGTTACCATTTTATCTTCATTTAGCGTTACCGTTTTAGATATAATTTTAATGGTGTAGATTAATTCTAAAAATGCTAACGCTAAAGGCTACCATCGGATAACCTTTTCAAAACTCTAACGCTAATTACTAACGATGATGCCAAACAGGGCCATTGTTAGATTATCGTTTCACACCGTTGTTGTAGCAGGGGCGCTTCTAGGGAACTTTCTGTCCTAATAAAGATATTTGTTATTCTCGTCACGGCAGCGTATCTTTCTTCATCGTTTTCTAATCCAAACATCGATTATCTTACCTACTATTTGTCGAACATATTCTATCGCCTCTCATTGTTCATCTGTGTCTCCAGCACCATTATCGTTTCACACCGTTGTTGTAGCAGGGGCGCTTCTAGGGCACTTTCTATCCTAATAAAGATATTTGTTATTCTCGTCATGACATCGTATCTTTCTTCATCGTTTTCTAATCCAAACATCGATTATCTTACCTACTATTTGTCGAGCACATTCTATCGCCTCTCATTGTTCATCTGTGTCTCCATCACCGTCAGTCCTTTGCATAACTCTATGAGCATTTATCAAAACGTCGAAAAAGTTTTGTATTTGGTGAACCACCCTGAAACGTCCCAAAGTTCGTCCCAGTGTATTTGTCCAATTTAACTTTCTCGAGTCAAAATGAACAAATTTTGAACTCTAATTACTCTCAATTTATATTGCATATTAACAATGAAATACAATTTTAAAAGTTCTTAATACAATAAATCTAATAAAGTTATTTTTATGTTAAAATACATTACCGTTTTTATTTAATTGAAACTCAAAGTTTGTACAGTTTGACTCGAAAAAGTCAAACTGGACAAAAGTTTGTACAGTTTGATTCGAAAAAATCAAACTGGACAAATACACTAGTACCAATTGATTATTTAGTACAAATTTGAGTAAAACATTCGTTATTGGCGACAAGCTTTTTTCCATCGTTTTTCAATCCAAACATGGCTTGCCTTTCCTACTGTTCGTCGAGCACAGAGTTCGTCCCATCACCTTGCGGTTCAATTTCGCGATTTCGAAACCTATTTTATTTTCAGTTCGATCGATCTGTTTCCATCGATCAGGTTGAGAGATCTGTTTCTCCACTTAGACTCCATTAATCAACCTGTTTCCAGCCCCATGGCTCCTTCCCCAGAAAGAAGCACCCAGAACCGATTACAAAAGCGCCTGTCCGCAGAACCCTCTGATCTCTCCGGAATCATCGACGCAATATCTCATAAAGCTTGCCCCATATGCCTCTGTGAAATCGAGCCGGGCCGGGCCGGATTCCTTCCACTGTGCAGACATGCTTTTTGCGCGGGTTGCATCCGCAGGTGGAGCGGATACAAGCGCGTGTGTCCACTTTGCAAGGCTCCCTTTGGCTCTTCACTCCTCGTGATTGATCTCTCCTCTCGAACCCTCAAGAAAACTGCACTGGATTATGGTCCGCCGTCCTTAGGTTTTCCGGCACGACGGAGAAACCCCTCCGAGGAGCTGAGGTATATTTGGATCTGCAATTAGTTTCATTTAAATATCCCTATTTCATGAATTTAGATTGTAGAATAAAAATGATTTTTTTGTACTGAATTTAGAACTTAATTGAACTTGACTTCACTGAAAATTTATTGTAATTTTATTTTGAAAAGAACATGCTAAAAAAATCATAATTATAAGATTTCAATGTTTAAGAAATGTGATGGCCATAATACAATTGGGTTTAGTAACACCGGAAGATTGAATTTAATCGAATAGCTAGTTTAAATTAAGAATTTATTAACTCATCATTATTCTATCTTTAATATTTTGGATTGTAACTCCATCAAGTAGAGGGTGTGGGAGACTGAAATGTTCAATACTGAGGGGGATCGTTGACCAGGTTTATAAGAAGAAGAAGAAGAAGAAGAGCATGCCGGAATACCCAATGCTCAAGAACGAGAGAATATCCGAGGATGAGGTCATTTGGCACATTGGATGATGCAAGCCTCGGTGTCATCAAGGAGAGAAAACTTCAATGGCGGGAAAGGTATGGAACTATCAACCATGGATAAATCACATGAACCCTTTCCTTTTTATTCACATTGCCTGGGATTAAGTTCAAAATATTTTATGTGAACATGACAATGCTTACTCTTCTTGCAGTATATATGAAATGAAATTGCAGGCTGTCCCTTTCGCATCTAAGAGTCGTGTTTTAGAGGTATGGCTTTTCTTGTAGGTCCATCTCACTTCATAGTTATTAGAAAGATTTGTCTAGAACCACTAAAAATAAGTGGTTTGCGAGAAACCTCCCAACATTGTTTTTTAAAAGAACAACCACCTAAAACCTTTTTCCATCGAGTGTAGCTACTAAATTTCATTATAGAGTCAAAATTTAAATGAAATTCTCTATTCACCCTTGGTAGATAAGTGGTGGGCTTGAAGGAAGAGGTGGTGGGGAGGTTGGTAAGGCTTGGCTGGGGTGGGGGTGGCTGGGTGGGTTGGTGTGTATGTGTGTTTGCCAATGCCAACCATCAGCTAAAACTGTTTTAGAAATGAAGGGTGAATTGGGAAGTGATTTCAAATTTTCACCACAATTTAGTGTTTTGGTGGCTCCACTAAGCTAAAAATAACTATTTAGGCATTTCAAAAAAAATGCTTGGAATTTATTTGCAAACCACTTATTTTTCTAGGTGGTTCTTGTCAAATTTTTCTAATTATGTATAGGATGATCCTTGTAATTATCAGATTACATATGATATTTATTCTTAGATATGTACTGGCATAGAAACTCTTTGAGACCTAGGGACTAATATTCTTTTTAACAAACTTCCCAGAAAATGGAGGACAATAATGGGGTTAAAGCTATGGTCGTACAAAGAATAGAGCCATGGATACAGAGGGAGCTTGAGGCTATACTTCACGACCCCAATCCATCCGTTATTGTACATGTTGCCACCTCACTTTTTGTCTCCACAAATGGGAGAAGTGGCCAATCTTCTTCCAGAGAACGATACACGAGGGATGAATTTCTTACCCCTCTCAGGCCTTTCTTGCACGATACAGCTGAACTGTTCTGGCACGAGCTTAGGTAACGTGGTCAAATTCATACATTGTTGTGACTTACCATAACGATAATAATAGTAATAGTAATAGTTTTTGAATAATCAATTATGGGCAGATGTTTCGCTGAGAGCCCTTTCTCTATTGAGACATATGATACTGTGGTGGAGTATAAATCGCCGGACCAAACCTAGAGAACATCATGGTTCACGAAAGAGTGCAGGTTTCTTGGAGCGGGACTAGAGTTGGTCACGGTCCTTGGTTAGATCACGAACCATATCAGAACGAGTTGCTAACGTGAACTGGAGAAACAATCGGTTCCGTGTTACTTTTATGGTTTGCAAAAGAAAAAAGGGAACCAAAGACCATGAGAACCATAGTGATCCAGTTTGGAACCAAAGATGATTAGTCTTTATCATGATTTGAGTTGGGTCATTAAATTAGTTGCTTATGCATTGTACATTTGTAGGATAGTTGGGTCATGTACTTGTAAATTGAGTTGTATTTTTTATTATTTTATTTTTTTTGCATAAGAGAAACTACTATGTAAAATACACTCCTTAGTCCTTAGTCCCCAATGAATAGATTTCTCTAAATCCCCTAACTTATACCGAGTACTTCATATTAACACACACAAATGCACTTTTTATATCCGACATTCTTGTGCATGTTTTTAAACATGCTCTTTTTAGTTGACATGTAAAAAAAGTAAAAATAAAACTATAAAGTGTTATTAATAAATACATTTTTAATATGATACAGTATTTTTTATGTATATAAAATGGTTAAAACTTAAATTGTTGCCAAAGGCCTTGTGGTCGACTGACACATGACTCTTCCAAATGGAAAATCATAGGTTCAAACTTCATAAGGAGCATTGATATTTTGTACTTCAATATGTAGAGAAGACATGAGTAGAAAATATTTAGCGGATCAATAATCAGAGATGTAAAGAGTAAAAAAACAAAAATGATATTGACACTTTTGAAAGATTAAACCCTAGTGCGTGCAAGAGTTGTCGCCTTTAGGAATCACACTCAAACTTATTACTTTGACATCCATCTTTCAACCATCTGAGCTATGTTACCCGAGCATGAGAATCCTGTTCTCTTTGCTTGATCTGATGAATTGGTTTTGATTTGAACTTTTTAAGAGTATCTCCAATGGTATGGTGTATAATTGGTAAGCTAAATCATTATTTAGACTATGTTGTTCTAACTATGGACGCATTCCAACGGCATCATGCATATGAGCTATATTTATCTTCTTTTAAATGGTTATTGTGTGACAAAAATCCACCCACGAAATCCAAGAATCATTCCCCACCATAAATATGAAAATAGCTCATCTACAGTTGTCTTTCATTTTAGAATGATGCTACAGTAATTATAAAAGATGTGTTATTTATTAGAAGCTCCGTTGGAGCACCAAAACATGAACAAAAACATGTATACATTCTATTTTTTTTGGCTTATAGCATCTCCATTGGAGCTGCTCTATGGTATAATATCATCTAATTGTAAATCTTTGTATTCCCTTAGTCAGGCAATTACAATTTGACTTTTTACCCAAATTATGTTACACTTTGACTACAAACTATGAAAAAATAATTTTTACTTGTAACACTTCTTGCGTTCTAAAAAGAATGACACGATTCACTATTTAAAAATTATGGGAAATGTTTTTTATTTGTATGTTTTCATCGATTATTTAATAAAATAAAATATTTTTGTCAAGTCTTCTTTTGAAAAACTTTTGACATAGTTTTTAAATATATATATTTTTTATTTCTTATACCAATCTTTAAATAAAATGAATTTAAAAAATGAAATTTCATTTTGTTTTGCATAATGTGACACATATATTAGGACGGAGTGAGTATAAACTTAGTAAATTTGGGTTCATTTCAAAATATACTTTTGATGGAGTATCAAAATTTTAAAATATTTAATTATTTAAAACTATATTTAATTTGTAATCAGAGTATTGTTGTACATTTTACTAAAAAAATAAAACTATAAGATTTTTTGGTAAGGAAGGCAATTTAATTCAAACCTATTGGTTATTGATATGAATAAATAATAAATACTAACTCTCTCTCAAATTAAGTTGTCTGTTTATAGTTAACATCAAATTTTATTCACTTTCTTTCACTATTTTCATTATTTATTTGATAAAATAATATAGACATGTCACCACTAATTGTGTAAATCTTATGATGTGGTTTTTAAATATGTACTACGTAATTTTTATTTTTTCAATTTCACATTTTTTTCATACGGAGTATAAAATAACTTGAAAATAAATTTATTTAGAACTTTAAATAGTTTCATTGCACACCTTTATCGCGCTCTGCCCATTAGGCTGACATATGGGCCGGCTTAGGGCTGAATGTTTGAGCAAACAAGGCCTAAAAACCCATAAACGGCCAGGCCAACCGGAAACATTTCATCTCCTTCCGAAGGCCAAAGCTCCATAGTCGGCCGGTGGCAGCTCCCGCCCAGGCAATCGGAAACCAGACTTCCCACGCTATTCACCCCATCTTTTTGTTCCAAACCCAAAGCCCCGCAGTTGTGCCATATTCCGAGGTAACCGGAACCCAATCCGTTCTTTTTATGTTTTTCCAATCCGCTGATTTTTTTAATGGTTTAATTACTGTTTCAATTGTACTTTGCAGATTTTGATTTAACTTTTGATGTTTTTGGCTGAGTTTGATCTCAGGTTTTTAATGGGTGTAGATTGTGTGGTGCTGGATTGGATACCCATTTTTTTTATTGAATTTTATTTACTCATTAATTTACATGGGAAGTTCAATTAATTGCCTAACATCTTTGATTAGTTCATTTGGCTTTGATATCAAATAACTTTGAAACTTGAAAAAAAAGAAGACATCTAAGGCAGTTTGGTCATTGGTGGATGGTTTTGGAGAATCTCTCCTGTGAGCTGTGAAAGAAAAACAAACTAAATATCATCCTAAAAACCTTAGGCAACAAAAAATGGTAGAAGTTTGTGTTCCTTCTCAAAGTTTTGTAATTTGTTGGCCATTCCGGTCCTTGTTTTTTTGAAAGAGATTATTCACACTGATTGAGGTGTAGCCTCGTAGCCGTCTGGCCTTGAGGCCATGGGTTCCAATCCTTTATGCAGCCTCTTGTAAAATAAAAGTCAAGATTTGACTGCATCACACCTCTATGGTGGGACCCCACTCGAATCCTTACCCGTGTACCAGGCTGCTACTTTATTCTTCACATTTAATAGGAAGAATTGGAGCTCACCACTCTAATCTGCATATTTTTTTAAGGTTTTGTAAGCCTAATGTAAGTATATAAAGTAAAAACAGAGTGACACACAGGGTCGGTAGTGATATTCCGGTGGTTGTTTACCCCTACAAATTCTTAACCTACCTATTACATCACACTTTTTCCCTATTAATCTACCCATCACATTTACTTTTACCCATCACATCCAAGGGCATTTTTGAAAAGTCAACACCAAAATACACTCTTTTAAATCCTTTAAAAGTCAAAACGAGAAAGTCTTTGTGGGATAGAGAGAGTAAAATTTTAGGCCATGAGGTTTGAAGTACAATAGTTACCACAAACTCTTAGAAAGTTTTTTCAAAAAAATTCAGTGAAATGAGTGTATTCTTATTTATACTACATAGATTATAGTGTGAGCTCAGCCTTGTAATAAATAGTTAGAAGAAATATTGAAATAAAAGCCCATGTCCCAAGAGTTAAGATACCATACAGAATTCATTTTATATTTTAGCTTGGCCAACATGTATTTCCTATTTCCCATTTTAATATCGGTTCACCAACAAAATTATCATAATCAATGCAGAATTTCACCTTCTATTGGAGCCTCAATTTTGGGATGTTGTACTTTTGCACCCCTTTGACACTCTCAAAATCAGACTTATTGCATAGAAACATTAGAATGCTTGATGGGATTATTTGGGCTTTGTGAATGTGCTTTCCTGTTTTATGAATACCCTTCTATTGTCGTATTAGGGGGTATTACTTGTATAGATTGTTCTGTTTACGTTAATGTTCATATATTTCTTTCCTGATGAAGTTAATATCACGATTTTCTTTATTGTGGATTTGTGGGAATTTAGAAGTTCTTTGGAAATAAGTGGACATTTAAATTATTTTTTCTATTAAATAACACTGTGTATATTTTCTGCTTGTTTACACTCCATGCATGTTTTGGGTTGTTCTTTTCAAATGAGTCATACTTAGTGCACCTCATATTCAGATATTCTAAACTGCAAAGACAAACTGTCCATGTTGCATTGTCTGTGTCGTAGACACTTTTGCTTGTGCGACACAGACAATATTAATTCGTGTAGTATAAAAATGGTAGTTGATATACACCGTGATGTATACTTCTTTTTGAAAACCCATTATGTATACTTTAGTGTACAAAAAATTCTTAATAATGATCCAGTGCGGTAAAAATCCATATAATCTATGATGCATCATGTCCCACAAATTTTTTCAGTGGGTGGGGATAAATTTCTAAATTTCCAGATTTTGTTGTTTGGAACCACTAAATAGCCATCATTATCTGGAGTAGCTCCAGCTTTAAAATTTGTTGGAAGCACCAGACGATTGAAAATTAAAGTAAATAATAATATCTTTTGACAGGGAATTTAGCAATCAGCATTGATGCCTGAGCTCTTCTTTTCCGGAGAGCATACCCTTACTTTTGTTAATGTCTTCACTCTTCAGTCATTTTTTGCCAGAAAGCTGGAAAACTGTATTGTTTATATGTAAAGATGTTCCTTTGAAGTAAATTTTTCCAAAATGTCGTATTGCATGCTTTTTTCTTGTCATTGTTACTTTTGTACTGAGCTCTTGCTTTGACTTATAGAGATTATAGTTCCTACAAGGTGTGGATTTCATGAATTAATTCTAATTGTCTCGCAGAGTGGTCCATTATTCAAGTTGGGCCGAGAATGGGTTCTGGATTGATTAACGCTAACCCCATTATTTATGAGAAGAAGGAACGCCGAGCACGATGTGCACCCATTGTTGTTGATGAATATGCAGTGGAGCCAATTGACCAAGAAGAAATATTTGATATCCTTTATGAGTGATTGCAAAACATAATTATATGCTAGTTATGTCACTACTCACTAAAGATATTAAATTGTTTTGGTACTTTACTATTATTATTATTATCATCATTATCATTATCATTATCATCATCATCATCATCATCATTATTATTATTATTATACACTGTATAGAAGTGACAATTTGCAATATAAACATTTTCTTTTAGCTATCTCAAAGCACCGAGAAGGCGAGAATACCCTCTTGTTACAAAGGAACATTGCATTGGGAAGTCACTAAAAATGGAAAAGTATATAAGATTTACGCATGTGAGAACCTGTTATTGTTAGCTATTTAGCATTGTCATGCTTTGTTCTTGTGATGAGAATTTTGTAACTCTTTAACATGCATACATCATATCCGAGACATAAAAGATCCAGAGCATCCTTATTCTTTAGAAGAGCTTAAAGTTATTACAGAAGACTCCATTGAAGTAGATGACACGAGAAGCTGTGTCAGGTAAAAAAGCATCTTGATGGGGATGCATTTGTTTCACACCATTCTCCCAACTTTATAAAAAACACTGTAAAATCTTGTGTCAGAATAAGCAATCGTTTGTTTCAGGGTCACATTCACCCCAACCGTTGAGCATTGCAGTATGTCTACCATCATTGGCCTATGCTTGCGAGTGAAGCTCATGTGGTCTCTGCCTTCCCGCTATAAAGTAGGCTAACTTCTTTAGAACTTGGAAGTTTTTTTTTTGGCTTTTTTATGAAGTATACTCTTCCCAAGTTGTTCTAATGAAAATATTTTTTTACGGTATTACCAGGTTGATATTAGACTTGCACCAGGATCACATGTATCTGAAGCTGCAGGTCTCTCTCTCTCTCTCTCTCTCCCCGTTTGAATGGCAATAAATTTAGGTAGCACATGAATTTAGTGGTGTTCAAGGGACTAAACTTCCCTTTTTACTCTCTATGAAGTGTGTTGACAAAAATGGGTAAATCTATTTTAACACCAGATTACCAGGGTTTGACACCAAAGTTTCACGCCATGTCTTGACAATGATTATTTGTGGGTTGGCCTAGATAATAACTGTTTGTGCATGCGTGTGAAACACATTGTGTCAAATTTTGGTGTCATACATCTCGTATCTCCTAAACTCCAAAAGAATTGGGATCATACTTGATTTTTGTTGATGTTCAAGGGATTTTGAAGTGACGAGGGGTATTGTTATTTTTTTGCGTTTGCAGTAAATAAGCAATTGAACGACAAAGAGAGAATCACGGCTGCCTTGGAAAGTCCTTACCTTGCGGATGTGGTCGATGAATGCCTTGCTCCTTCTTATCAATCTTGACCTAATAGCTAGACAACATATGACATGAGTCTTTGCTACTTATACTGTCTGTAATGCACACCGAGAACATCTTTCATGTCTTTCTTAAAATTTGTGTAGCTTTACTGATTTTTGTTGGCAGATTGATTGTTTCTCTTTTCCCTCAAATATTTATTAAATGCTATAAACAGTCCCTCCATTCATGTGTTTGTTGTTGTATAAACTGTCACTTGAGAATTGCTGCAACATTTGATTCAATAAATTGATTATAGAGAATCTTTTAATGGCATTTTCTCAAAACCTTCTTGTAGTTGTGGTAGGATACTGCCTGGCCTCAGTAGTTTTTTTATTTTAATTTAACTGTTCATGCTTTTGTCATTGGGATACATGCTTTCAAAGTTAATGGTTTTGTATGTGGCAAAAAAAACCATATATGAGGGACTTGTTTATGTTTTGGACTTGAAATGCATATTTTTAGAGCCTGTTCTTTAGGACTTAAATTCTTAACTTCTACTCCCTCCGTTTTTTAAAAGTGTTCCTATTTTGACTTTGTGTAAAAATAAGGAAGTGTTAAATTGTAGTTGACTTCCAATTTTGCCCTTGATGTGATGGGTAAAAGTAAGATGTGATGGATTGAGTGTTAGAGAAAAAGTATGATGTGATAGGTAGGGTATGAAAAAGTAAGGATAAAAGTGGTTTTTTAAAAGAAAGTGGAAGTGTTTTGTTGGAAGTAAAAAAAATGAAAGAGGAAGAGTTTTTGAAAACGGAGGGAGTAGTTTTTTCCAGTTTATTCCAGTTCTTTTCAATTTCTTCAACTATTCTCATTTTCTTCAAACTGTTTCTACTCCCCAATCAACTACTCTAAAAATGATATATTTTTAATGTGATTATTTTTATTATTACAACTGTTATGTTCATAAATATAGTTTATAAAATATTTTTTTATCTCACTATTTTTATGATTCACACTCATTATTTTTTCTTTAACTTTTTAATATGAATAAGAGTTTTTTTGTATATTAATCTATATGATAAAAGAGGAAAACATCAATATTTTAAACTATATTAAAAAATTATGGATAAAATAGTTGCATAAAATGTTTTATTAATACAACGTTATATAAGACCTCTTATCTTTCCCTTTATTACTCAAAATTTTCTCATTTTTCTAATTTTTACAAAAAATTGAATTAGAAGGGATGATGTTAACCCTTTGGTAATACCCATATTTTGTCTGTATAAAGCATAGGTGTATAATGTGATGTGCGCTTGGACGATATATAGATAACATCATTCTTTCTACAATATCCCCCTTTGATCAAAGAATAAATAGCAACTAATTGATCATGTCTTTATACTTCGTAATTCATAAGAACAAAGACATTAAGGCAATACGTACAGGTGGCTTCAGCAAAAATACATCGTATCAACGTTAAAGATTTAACATTAGAACTACGTTAAGATATTACTTCCCCCCATTCTTATAGAATTTTCTAATTTGACTTTTTACGATCATCAAGATATTACATATATGTATGTATATATATATATGTATGTATGTATATGTATGTATATGTATAATACAGAGAGAGAGACACACACACTGTATAATATTTTAAGTCTGCTTTAAATTTATATTATAACACTAATTTTCCCCCCATATATTTTAGTCAAAGTTTAAAAATATAAAATAAAAAATTCAAATGAAAAGAAAGTTTTCGAGAACATATTACATTTTTACCCATCTCACCAAGATTCAGCCTTGGCACAAATTTTTGTTGATTACCAAAGGAACATCATCCCTGGGTCAAAAAACAAACATAATGGAAACACAAAAACAAGTGCACAAAAAAGAGGCATAATGTTATACAGAGTAACACAGCATGGAATGTGTATGTGATTATAATTTCATCAAGTCTTTGACCAATTCATATATCCACAAGTATCCAAAACACAACATAAAATTCACATATCCACAGTGTCATTAACAACACAACACAAAATACACAACATAAAGCTCTCGTCTTGCCGTGAGAATCGTCCGTCCTTTTTTTCCCTTCTCTCCCGTGCAATGAGATTAGAGCTCAAAATAAAAAAACGCGAATTCGGTATTCATAATTACTCCAAGTGGGTTCTCAATTCATTAAGAGGAAGGTGAAGTGTGGGTAGTGAGACATGAAGGGAGTCAACAATGATTACAACAAAATAAATGGGATTAGGAGATTTTCCCCCAGATATTTGGTAATTGGAAAGTGGGATTTGGTTGACATAAAAATGGATTTTTATGGACATTAATGGAAGTAGGTATATAGTTGTGTGCTTAGTAGGTGGCTCCCCAAGGGATTGTGGTATGAGAAGTTTGATGACCAAAGACAAGAAGCTCTCCTAGGCAACTACTAGCACCAAAAATATTGAAAGAAAGAAAGAAAAAAATGATCATTCGGTCTTTGAGACCTCACCTCCATGTCCCGTACTACTGCTCCCGCTTGTCCCGGAAGTTGAGCCCATTGGGCCACTAGGAGTAGTCGTGGGTGATGTTTGGGTAGCGACGCTTTCCTTATTGGACCTAGAAATGAGGTTGGGCCTCGAGTCTGAGGATGTTGGAGCCAGAGTGCTCAAGTAAGATCCAGCAGGTAGGGGAGCAACGGGGATGTCAGCAAGTGAGGATGCCGATGGACTGTAATTCAGCGTTCCCATTGGATGGTCAAACCTACATGTAGGCCCAAATTTGCACACCCCATTATGTGAATAGTGTAAGCAGATTGGTGCATCCTGAAAAAAAGCAAATGACAAATTTATTTATAAAATAATGTAGTAATGCCATTTTTTGCTGGTTTTGTAGGACTTTTGATATAAAATTTTATTTCTTTTTAATTTTTACACCCATTTTCAAATAAATTGAATTGAAAATAACTTACTGGACGTAGAGGAAGACCGAGAGGGCTCAAGACAAAATTTGCTTTGGGTACGGTCCATCCGGGCGGATGATGGTATCTACATGAAGACCCATACTTACAATCCCCAGTCTTCATGTAATGCTGGCATTCAGGCTCACCAGCTCTTTCAGGAAAGGCTTGTTGTTCTCTTGGACTGAGCTGTGAAGGGCCAGCTGTAGGACCTTCATACATATAACCTCCTGAATAGGCAGGTGCTGAAGGAGATAACTGTGTTAATCCATAAAACTGTCCAACTCCAGCAGTCGACTGATTACTCAGAGATGGAACTGGACTTAAAGGTGCCTGTAATGTTCGAAATTTTAAACGACAGCTAGTAGCTAGGGTCATTTTATTTAAGGCTGTGTTTGGTACAAGGGAAATGCTTTTCTTTTTCTCCTGTGTTTGCTTATGCAAAGGGAATGGGATTATTTTCCTCGGAAAAATTTGTCTTATGTTGAGGAGAGGAAAATGCTTTCTTGTACTCAGGCTTGAGAAATCGGTTTTTCATCTCCTTAGAAAGATGTGATTATAGACATCCAAAAATTTACTCTTTTGAGTTACCAAAGAGTAGAAAATGTAATGGAAATTCTTTCTTCCATTGAAATTCATTTGCAATAAATTCCCTCTTTACCAAACACTGCCCAGATCAATTTTTTTCAAGTCAAGAAAAAGAAACAGTGATCGCAAGTATCTCTACCGGATAAGTAGTCCAACCACCAGGAACTGGAACTACCCCCGAGGGAAACAACATATGACTATAAGCTCCGGGCATGTATGCACCAGGAAGAAGGGCCGGCCTGGCAATTGACCAGGTGGGACCCATTACACCAAACTGCTGAGAGGAATGATGAACAGATGAGGGAGAGTGGACTGCTGAATAAATAGATGGTGCTGCTGCTGCTGTAGGCTGTGGATGATCAAATTTGCAGGTGGCTCCGAATTTGCACTGCCCGGTTCTAGTGTAGTATGAACATTCCCTTTCGCCCTGCCACATGAATCCTATTAGTGAATTTCGCACGTACTTAAATCGGAACAATAATAATTCATCTTTAAAACAAGGGCATGATGAGTCCATCTTTTTGTAAAAGAAAGAGAATGGCACCCTAGATTATGCCAATCCCAAGATTCCCCTGCCCCCCAACCCCTGAATTCTGGTGGGGTGGGGTGAGGGTGGGGTTTGTCACTGTTAGGACCTTTTAATAAATCATCCCAAAAATAGTGAAAGTAATGGAAATGCAGACCGGCCGTGAAGGGTATCCATAAACATTCATCACCACTGGTGCTGATCCGCCTCCCTGTCTTGGGTGGTGATACTTGCAAGAAACACCAAACTTACACATTCCAGTCCTCATATAGAACTACAAAGGAATGAAGAATACAAAAAACAAGAAATAAGTATTGAGGGACTAGAGATTCTCAATAGTAGTCTCTTGATCAGAAACCAAAGAAATTTACATCCAGTAAACAAAACGCAGTAAATTCATAGTAACAAACTGCAGTCCACATGTCACGAATTTAAATTTTGAAATAATAACAATGTATACATAAATGTTTTTTTTGCATGGAATAGGCATCTAAAGGCATGATGATTGCGCAAAACGCAGCACAGAAAAATCTTATAGGACAGAGTACTAAAACTAGGTCACTACCACAACTTTCTCAGCAAGTTTACTTTTACATGAACGAAGTCACTTGAAGGAACTATCAGTGAGTAGAACTAGTAATATAGCTGAATCCCAGTAGGAAAAAAAGGATTAGTAAACGCAAACACAAATCGCATAGATCTTAAGTTCAGAATCTGGAATGCCGGTTCTTAAAGTGAATGGGAAACAAACCAACTACAAGCACAATATGATATCAAATGCAGTGATCTAGAAGAAGAATAAATCCAGCAGAATCACAACACCACCGGGGTGTAGGGGGGGCAATATTTATGCACCCTTACCCCTGTACAAAAGCAAAGAGGCTGTTTCCATTAGACCCTTTACACAGTGCTGCATTACCTGCCTAAAACTTCATAGAAAGTACGAAGAAGAGGGTGTATCATGTGTCAATTTGATGTAGTCCACATTATTTACCCGAAGCTAAAACATAGTCAGTAAAGAATCTTTTAGCTCCACTAGCAATGCCTTTTTCATATATAAACTGCAGTCTTTCACAGTTAAAAGAAAGGAAATGGTATCCACCAAAGTGAGGAAAAATAACAAATTGGCTACCCTTCAACCTGATGCAATTTCCATTGTCAACCGTCCTAAAGAAGGAAACATCATTCACGACAAAGAATGAACTACTAGATATTTTTATATATAATTTCAACCCAAATACTAAATTGGGACTTGATCACCAAAAAATAACCCACAATGCATCTAAAGAGTGAGTACTTTTGTAGCCCCACAGACAGCATTCAAAAGTGGCATGGGAACTTCCATTTGAACTGCTCCATAAATAAAGAGCAGATACTAAAGGGGGATATGCTCTAAGAATAAAAGCCTTCCATTTACATATCATTCTCAAAACGGAAAATGTTACTTCTGGCAAGCATGGCAGACTCTTAAATCTTCAAGAACAAAATGCAAAAGAGAAAGCCATTACGTTACCGCATCATCCAACCAACACTAGGCACCCAAAGAACAACAACCTTGCGACTTGCACATCATTTATCAACAGAACAAGAAGAAGAAAACCTCAACTCTACTCAACCATTATAAATGCCCAGAAATTGCACATTATTTGGGAACTCATCGAACACGCAGAATTCAGAAACCAGAGGGAACTTACCAGACATTGAGGCTGATCCGCTCTCTCCGTAAGCTCCCCGATGCTGGCTCTCGTAGATCGAGCAGCCTAAATCAGTATGAAAACAAATTTCAGTCAATGCATGTAAAAGGAATTCTTGATTTTAACCCACAATTCAAAAATCTTGGCGATTTCAAAAAACAGAATCTTCACTGTGATCAGCACCAAATCCACACAAAAACCTAAGGTGATCATGAATATCAACCCAATTACATGTGCCCTAGAAAAACATAACCATTGATCCCCCACCCCACTCCACAAAGGGGAGAAAAAACGAAACTTGAGCCCCAAGATTTCAAAGAAAAAGGACAAGAATCCTGACAAAGCTACGATCGCGGGGATGATTGAACCGACAGCGAGCGCCATAGCCGCACAATCCGGTCCGCAGATAATAGATACAATCGGCCTCCTGAGGTCGCTCTGGGTAAGATTGGGACCCACCACTGACGGACAACTGCCACAGCGGCTCTGCATTAACACAGTACGGGTCGGCATTAACGCGAGAATTCCGGGAGATATTGACACGAAAATGAAACGCAACTGACCTTCCAGGCCAGTATCGCCTCCGTGCTCCGCCCCTTCCGTTGCATCCTCCGTCGCCGGAGCGCCACCGTGCCTCTCCATCAAATCAAGCGATTATACCCGGTAAAATAACAACAAAAGGCGCACCTTTTCACACACTATGCATACATAATGGGGTAAGCTATGTTTGTATCTATATATCTATCTCTATAAACAAGAGAGAGAGAGAGAGAAGAATGGGTGATCAGTTTGGTGGTTTTAGAGAGAGAGAATGGGAAGAGGGGGTTTTCTTAGTGGGTTTGCGTTTTTCCCTCACACCACACGCACAGTGTGAATTCTCTCTCGCTCTCATGGGGGGTGGGGGTAGGGGTGGGGTCGAGTGTTTATGAGCGGAGAGATGTTGGG